TTCAATGGGATAATGATTCGATGGATACTATCATTATTCTTCATGGTATCCAATTCAAAAATGATGATTATTGTTTATCAAAATCAATCTTTAAGGTTTTTAAGCATACACATTTAGTTCTTGATATCCAGCAACCATGTAATTGTTTTGTATTTATGTTGCAAAACATCACTTATGCAGACCAGGGATCAGTTTGTCTATCAAATCAATCGATTATTGATGGACTGACTCAAGAATGTATGACTATTGATTCGTATTGCTCACCTGTGGGAAGTAGTACTGTATCACTATCACCATCAAATGATGATGGAAAATGGAAAACAATATTAGCAATAGTGATTCCTTCAACAGTTATCGTTATCATTTTGTCTTTAATTGGTATTTATATATTTCAAAAACGTCAACAAAATAAATCTGATACAAATGTCGTGATGAAGGATGGGATCGTGAATATGTTTGCTAAAAAATAAGTTTTATTGTTCGTCGTGCACGCTCTTGATTTTAGTTTGGAATAAATTTTTTTCTGATTTCCGTATAACTAATGAGGAATAAATTAAAGTTTTTTTTAAAGAGATGGCTGTGTAGATGCGGATGAGACTGATACATAAATTTACTATCCGCATCCCTCTTACTAATGCAATGTACCAAAGGAATATAAGTATACAGCAAAATCTGCTCGTTTACAAAAAATTAATAATAAAATTTTCTTTATAATAGATAAGATATTAATATAGCAATAGAATAATTCAATCATTACTTAAAATTATGAAAACGAGAAATGTTTTGTAAATTATATTGCAAATCTTCCAAGTAATGAAACTTTTATCGATTGGTCAACATTTTCATCAGATGAACATTGATATAATACATTTTTCTTACCAATTTCACATATCTAAATCCTTCTACACTAACAAATCTTTTATCAAAATTTTCTTCAGTTAGATTTTTAAACGTCACATTCACAAACGGTGTTAACCCTAGTCCTCCCAACATGGGTCATTTTTGATCCACATCCGAAGTAGATGTTTTTTGATAATAAGTAACAGAGTATGACATTTAGTTTTGATTTTTCGTTAGAGTTAAAATGGACATTATTTTAATACGCTCTGTGTGAAATCAGATGTAAAATATCATAACTTAAATTGTAGAGCTAGTTGCAAAAAATCCTAAAAGAGCATGGGAGGACTAGGGTTAATCGCGAATAGTAGAAAGTATTTTTCAATCATTGAGTCATCATCTATTCATATTGTTCAAATAAAATTAGTGAATTGTTTATTAACAAATGTCGATCTTCTTATTCAAAATCTTTCAAAACTTGGATTACATTTAAATCTATCTACGAATATATAATTTCGATCTTGTGTATGTCGATGAGAAACACATCCGCAGAATCAATGCAAATAAGTTCTTTTGGTTTTTCTCATTAAAGACAGAACAAAATTTACCGTTCATTTTTTTTCCTTCAATCAATTATAATTAAAATTATTCCATCAACGACTAATATTTTTGCATTTGATAATATCGATGCTGTATGTAGAAATTGTGCAGTACTATTGCATTTTCAGTTATTTTCCATTCTAAACAAAACAAAAACGAAAAGCGAAGTTTGAATATTTCTTCCAACTTACGCCTTGTGAAGATAAATAAATGGAATTTTGAATTTAATTATTTTGTTGATCTACAACAAGAAGATTTTCAAAAACGATTTAAAACTTAGATTTGCGATGATTATTCGAATCAGCATAGAGATGTTGATTAGAGAATGAATAGTACGGAATCCGATCTACGAAAATGAAGATGTCAAAATATTAGCTACAGATGTTCATTCGTGAAATTCCCATCAGTTTTACTTACAACAGTTTGATTGGATGAATAAAATGTATCGACATAGATCTTTTCTTGTTTTGTTACAAATAAACTTGAGGAATTGGTTACATTAACGGAAATATTTTGAATTGATTTACAAAAAGATTTTTGATCGAATCAATTGGATTAGATTTATCAAAACAATTCACCTGAAATTTGTAGTAATAATCAATAAAATAATCGACAAATGTAACATTTCCTCACGCTTGGGTTGTAAAGATGTAGAACAATCGTGTAAAACGATATTTCTTGCTGAAAAACATCGAAAAAGTCAAATGAAATGTCTCATAAAGTGAAACTAGCCACAACTCTTATTGTTCCATTTGAGAGACAAACCTAAGAGATGATTTCATAATTGGAATTAAGTGAAACATGTGACATACGAATTTTCTGTCTTGATATTTAATAATTCAATGAATTCATAATAGTCCATATTATAGAAATAAAGCATAATTCAATTCAAAGTATGTTTTATGCATTTCAAGATTAAATAAGCACCGATGAACGTTGTAACCAATAGACTTATTATTTTTTTATAATCGATTGTTCATCGTTTTCTGTGTTTTGCAAATTTTTTTCCAGTGTGTGATCAAAGAACACGATGAAAGACGAGAGTTTGTTATAGGAATATCTACACCCTTGAATTTATTCGTTTATATCGTGAGTAACTTCGTATTTGAAGCTATTTTTTTATTCATAAAAAAATCAATAATTGTCTTGAAAACAAAAGTTTTAATAACGTTGTAAAGAATTTTAGTCTTCGAAACGTTATCGAATCGAAATTCAAATCAAGATCATCTCAATGAATATCAAAATATGTTTCAATGATATAACGCGCTCTTGAAGCTACTTCATTGTCTCGATGACTTCGAAGTTCTTCTATTTTGTCTAATTCTAAAAATACAATAAGAAAGTCTTCATAATTTACATAGTTTTCTTCGAAACAAACCATTTAACTCTTTAATGAGAATTGTATATGGATTCGAATTCTGTATCTGTTTACTTCCCGCAACTCCCCATCCAAGGATATTCTGTAAACCTTCAAGGACTACTTCAATTATTTTGGTTTCTGATGAACGTAACAGATCACACAGTAGAGGAATCACTCCTTCGTCAACAAGGTATCTAAAGATGGAAAGGAAGATTAAAGACAAAACAAATGAAGTTCCACTCATTAAGTACTTTGTTTGTGTTGATGAGAAACGCGTGGAATTCCTTATTGCACAAGCTACACGTTCCTTTATTTTATCAGCATCAAGATACAGACACTGAATCATTCGTGGAAATATATCGGCATCAATAACAGACTCAAATGATCACATTCATTCATCTTAAATGAATATAGAAATGTTTATTCTTACTTGAATTTGACTTTCAGTACCAGCAGTAATATTGACTATAGCATCGCAGAGATTTTCAATGATTACTGTTCTGTTGACATTAAATAACATCAATAGATGAGGAAGAAAATCATTATCATCAAGTACCATCTAATTCATTCGAAAATTGATCTTGAAAAAATTCTATTTTACTATAGACCTGTTTCTCTTGATCATTGCCACCAAGAATTTCTTTTATAACGGTTAAAGCTGATAATTGAATCACTTCAACTGTATGTCTAAAAACTGAATTGAGAAGATTCGATGAGAATTTCTTTTGATCAATACTCTAATAATGTCACAAGTCGAGGTATGACACTATTTTCGATGACAGTTGAAATGAGTTTATTCGACTGTTGAATTAACTTGCGTATTATGTAGCAAACTCCACGTAATATTTTTGTATCTGTGTTAATTTGTAATAATCGACTTAAGATAGGTATAATCGATGGTATCTAAACAAACAATTTCGATGATTNGTATACCTTTGCCTAATTCTTGTAGCAAGCAGTGAAGCGGAAACATACAAAGAATCATACAGGCGACCAAGTCATTATATCTGATCTTTTCTGCGTCAGATAGAGAATAGTCTTTAACGATATATGCCATATCTTGAACAAATGTTTCGTGCGCCTTTGAACACATCTTCTACGGCGCTCTTTTGACCCCATTACGCATCCCCCACCAACATCTACCCTCTACACCCCTTCCAAACGATGTTTTATGAAGTTTTAAGCATTTTCAAAAAAAATGTTTTTTTGACCTTTGACCCTGACACAGCCAGACAGACAAACTTTTTTTTTATATGACCCTCCTTTCAGTCGAGGGAACATGTACTTTATCATATTCTTTTAAATATCGAAAGTATTTCTCTAATAATGATCAGCATTCATCTATTTAGATAGTTTTATAGTCCAAGAGTCTCTATGAACGATAAATTGAGATTTTTTCTTTTGATATTTCGTGTTTAGCTGTCATTCTTTCAACAAGTACAGAAAATATACATGATAAAAAAATCATATTTTACATAATTTAGTGAATTAGATAAATTCTACATCCGTGTTGCATGATGATAGTTGATTTTATGTGCGAAGATAGGACATAGTTAGCTGAACAATTCTTCTTAAGTTAATACTGGTCAATATTGCATGCTAAAGACGGTAGAAATTTTTTAAATTTCCGTTAGCTGAAATAATCGGAGTGATCCGAATTACCCCACCGGTCTCTACGTTTTATGCATTTCAAGATGAAATAAGCACCGATGAACGTTGTAACTAATAGACTTATTATTTTTTATAATCGATTGTTCATCATTTCCTATGTTTTCCAATTTTTGTTCCAGTGAGTGATCAAAGAACACGATGAAAGATGAGAGTTTTTTAGAGAAATATCTACACCCCTGAATTTATTCGTTTATATCGTGAGTAACTTCGTATTTGAAGCTATTTTTTTTATTCATAAAAAAATCAATAATTGTGTTGAAAATAATTTTTTGTCTTTGGGACGTTTTCAAATCAAAATTCTAATCAAGATCATTTTAACGAATATCAAAATATGTTTCAATGATATGACGCGCTCTTGCAGCTACTTCATTGTCTCGATGACTTCGAAGTTCTTCTACTTTGTCTAATTCTAAAAATACAATAAGAAAGTCTTCACAATTTATATAGTTTTCTTCGAAACAAACCATTAAGCTCTTTAATGAGCATTGTATATGGATTCGAATTCTGCATCTGTTTACTTTCCGCAACTCCCCATCCAAGAATATTCTGTAAACCTTCAAGAACTATTTCAATTATTTTGGTTTCTGATGAACGTAACAGATCAAATAGTAGAGGAATCGCTCCTTGACCAACAAAGTATCTAAAGATGGAAAGGAAGATTAAAGACAAAGCAAATGAAGTTTCACTCATTAAGTACTCTGTTTGCGTTGATGAGAAACGCGTCGAATTCCTAATTGTACAAGCTACACGTTCCTTTATTTTATCAGCATCAAGGTACAGAAACTGAATCATTCGTGGAAATATATCGGCATCAATAACAGCCTCAAATGATCACATTCATTCATATCTTAAATGAATATAGAAATGCTTATTCTTACTTGAATTTGACTTTCCGTGCCAGCAGTGATATTGACTATGACATCGCAGAGATTTTCGTTGATTTGTGTTCTGTCAACATCAAATAACATTGATAGATGAGGAAGAAAACCATCATCATCAAGTACCATCTAATTCATTCAAAAATTGATCTTGAAAAAATTCTATTTTACTATAGACCTGTTTCTCTTGATCATTACCACCAAGAATTTCTTTTATAACGGTTAAAGCTGATAATCGAATCACTTCAACTGTATGTCTAAAAACTGAATTGAGTAGATTCGATGAGAATTTCTTTTGATCAATACTCTAATAATGTCACAAGTCGAGGTATGACACTATTTTCGATGACAGTTGAAATGAGTTTATTCGACTGTTGAATTAACTTGCGTATTATGTAGCAAACTCCACGTAATATTCGTGTATCTGTGTTATTTTGTAATAATCGACTTAGGATAGGTATAATCGATGGAATCTAAACAAACAATTTCGATGATTNAGATTCGATGAGAATTTCTTTTGATCAATACTCTAATAATGTCACAAGTCGAGGTATGACACTATTTTCGATGACAGTTGAAATGAGTTTATTCGACTGTTGAATTAACTTGCGTATTATGTAGCAAACTCCACGTAATATTCGTGTATCTGTGTTATTTTGTAATAATCGACTTAGGATAGGTATAATCGATGGAATCTAAACAAACAATTTCGATGATTGATTGTTTTTTGAAGAGTAGAATGAATCACTTTGGGGAAATCAACAGATGGACTGTCAAAACGACATAAATTCGACAAACACCATGTCGCTACTTCTAACATTGTTAATGTACATGTGTCGTCAGATAAAACACTAAAAATAAGAATATTTGTATTCATTCGAAGAAGAAATTCGTTTACTTTAACAATGGTTCGAGTATACCGTGATCAAGAACGAAATCCCGATAGTTCTTATTGTCTCCGGCTATATTCGAAAGCATCCAAATAGCCTAAAAACCGTTGTATTTCATCACAAAGAAAAATCTTCTTTCTTAAATAGTGTCTACATCTTCTTGAGTGATTTCGTTCGGACTTTGCATTAATTGAATCAGAATTGGTACAGTACCAGCATCGACAACATATTTTGTTTGCTTTGATGATCCTCCGGTTACATTTAGCAAAATCCTCAGAGCTTTCTTCTACAGCAAACAAAAAATGATGTCTTTTCTCTCAAGTTGAACAATGATTTACTTGAAATTTGTCATTTTCGGATGTTAGTAATTGCACAAGACGAGAAACGACGTCAAGAGTGATGATCTGAATGTCAAGTTGTCTACTTTCTGCATGAAGTCCTAATGGCAAAAATGTGAATTCAAAATGAGAAGTTTAGCTTTTTTCAAACTTTGATTTATTATTCTCTGATATTCAGATAAAGCGTCTAGAATTTGACTTTCGTCATCACTGAATAAACTATCGATCATTATGTTTCTGATCACCTAAAGAAAATAAGATTTCATTTTCGTTGAAGATGACACTTGCTGCAACAGAGCAAAAACCCTTTAAACTCTGTGGATTCTGATCTGCTGTGAAATGAGTAAAACTTTTCTATGAAATCTTACCTGATATGGATAATAAGTATCAAGAATGAGATTGAGTCGTTTGCACACGTTACGAGCTGAGAAGATGAGCGCCTCATCATCGAGATGATCAAGAATTCGATAAATAAATTCGAAAGGTAGCATGAGAAAAAAGGAAGACATTTCGTAGTTTGCTATGCCAGAATCTGCTTGAAATGAATGTTGTGCACACTTTTATTCTGCACGTGATATTTGTTTATTATAAAGACATTTGATAGAACGGAAGAAGAAAAATCATCGTGACACATCATAAGGGTGGGTGAAGGTGAATGGTGTGAACATTTCTTTTGTGTATACACTTTTAAGGCGTCTAAATAATTTAGTTCTTCAAAAAAACTGTTTTCTGAGTTTTGTAATTTATTTACTCATGAAATCGAAAGTTACTGATCACAATTAGGCAACATTCAAAGCAAATTATTCAGTTGGCAATACGCGAACATCTGTTTTCATACTTTCGATTAATATAACTGCATGTATCAGAAGAAATCGTAATGCAAGAGAAACACCAGAGAATAAACTCAAAAATATAGTTAAAAGTTGTAAAATATCAAATCGACGATGATACATATACGCGCATTTTTCTGGTTGACATGAATTAAAAAACATCTCGTATGAAACATTTGTGATCCACGATTCAATAAACATGTTATAAGCCAATGTTTCGAATGTGGCATCTATAGAAAATCGTGTTAATTGTGCATTCATTGTAATAGTTGTATTTGTCTCGTTAGCCCATGTTTCCAAATCTTCAGGCCAAACGAGAGAAAATGCAGTGCGAATTTCTTTAACACATTTCATCGAATAAAAACATGAGAATGATGATTGTAGAATACTTTCAAGAAGTGAACAACCCATCACGATACCTTGACAAGTGTAACGAAGTGCTCCATCATAATTGAATACTTGAGCTGGTTGAGAACAAGATTTAGTAGTAATACACGAACATGTTGTATTTTGATTGGTAGGTACAGTGAGAAACATTGAATTATCTCCTTCCGTATTATTGATCTTAACAAACTTCCACGATGATGTAAATAAACCGATTAATGCATTACCCTGTATGGTTGAACGTAGAAGATCTAGAGTTCGAGCAAATGCTTTTACTGTTGTTAATTTCATTTGATTTAATGTGATGTTGATCTTAGTATTAAATTCCATACGANACATTGTTAGTGTACGTGTGTCGTCAGATAAAACACTAAAAATAAGAATATTTTTATTCATTCGAAGAAGAAATTCGTTTACTTTAACAATGGTTCGAGTATACCATGATCAAGAACGAAATCCCGATAGTTCTTATTGTCTCCGGCTATATTTGAAAGCATCCAAATAGCCTAAAAACCGTTGTATTTCATCACAAAGAAAAATTTTCTTTCTCAAATAGTGTCTACATCTTCTTGAGTGATTTCGTTCGGACTTTGTATTAATTGAATCAGAATTGGTACAGTACCAGCATCGACAACATATTTCGTTTGCTTTGATGATCCTCCGGCTACATTTAGCAAAATTCTCAGAGCTTTCTTCTACAACAAACAAAAAAATGAATTCTTTTTTCTCAAGTTGAATAATGATTTACTTGAATTTTGTCATTTTCGGATGTTAATAATTCCACAAGACGAGAAACGACGTCAAGAGTGATGATCTGAATGTCAAGTTGTCTACTTTCTGCATGAATGCCTAATGACAAAACTGTAAATTCAAAATGAGAAGCTTGGGTTTTTTTCAAACTCTGATTTATTATTCTCTGATATTCAGATAAAGCTTCTAGAATTTGATTTTCGTCATCATTGAATAATCTATCGATCATTATGTTTCTGATCACCTAAAGAAAATAAGATTTCACATTATCGTTGAAGATGACACTTTCTGAAACAAAAAGCTCTGTGAATTCTGATTTGCTGTGAAATGAGTAAAATTTTTCTATGAAATCTTACCTGATATGGATAATAAGTATCAAGAATGAGATTGAGTCGTTTGCACACATTACGAGCTGATAAGATGAGCGACTCATCATCGAGATGATCAAGAATTCGATAAGTAAATTCCAAAGGTAGGATGAGAAAAAAGGAAGACATTTCGTAGTTTGCTATACCAGAATTTGCTTGAAATGAATATTGTGCACACTTTTATTCTACACGTGATATTTGTTTATTATAGACATTTGATTGTGTAATAACACTTTTGATAGAACGGAAGAAGAAAAATCATCGTGAGGGGTGTGAACATTTCTTTTCTGTATACACTTTTAAGACGATTAAATAATTTAGTTCTTTAAAAAAACTGTTTTCTGAGTTTTTGCAATTTATTTACTCATGAAATCGAAAGTTACTGATCACAGTTAGGCAACATTCAAAGCAAATTATTCAGTTGGCAATACGCGAACATCTGTTTTCATACTTTCGATTAATATAACTGTGTGTATCAGAAGAAATCGTAATGCAAGAGAAACACCAGAGAATAAACTCAAAAATATAGTTAAAAGTTGTAAAATATCAAATCGACGATGATACATATACGCGCATTTTTCTGGTTGACATGAATTAAAAAACAACTCATATGAAACATTTGTGATCCACGATTCGATAAACATGTTATAAGCCAATGTTTCGAATGTGTCATCTATAGAAAATCGTGTTAATTGTGCATTCAATGTAATAGTTGTGTTTGTCTCGTTAGCCCATGTTTCCAAGTCTTCAGGCCAAAAGAGAGAAAATGCAGTGCGAATTTCTTTAACACATTTCATCGAATAAAAACATGAGAATGATGATTGTAGAATACTTTCAAGAAGTGAACAACCCATCACGATACCTTGACAAGTGTAACGAAGTGCTCCATCATAATTGAATACTTGAGCTGGTTGAGAACAAGATTTAGTAGTAATACACGAACATGTTGTATTTTGATTGGTAGGTACAGTGAGAAACATTGAATTATCTCCTTCCGTATTATTGATCTTAACAAACTTCCACGATGATGTAAATAAACCGATTAATGCATTACCCTGTATAGTTGAACGTAGAAGATCTAGAGTTCGAGCAAATGCTTGTACTGTAGTTAATTTCATTTGATTTAATGTGATATTGATTTTAGAATTAAATTCTATACGAGGTATTATATTATATGCCAACATAGTTGAACTAAGAAATGTTTGAATATCATGTAAAACACTTTCTTGTGCTAATTGACATATCTTTTTAATGCCATCAATGAAAGCATCACTCCATGTTTGAAAATCAATCTTATTCGTAAAAATCTCTCCTGCTTCAAGTATTTTGCCTACAGTTAAACTGTTGTCAACAGCATCAGTTGAACATATTTCATGAAAGGCAGCGACATTGAATAATGTGACAAATGATCGATATGGAATTGAGATTTTTGTGCAAGCACAGTCAATATTACCATCATGTAAATCATACAAATATTCATAGTCTTCAATTGATGGTTTCACATAAGTTCTTGTAATATGACGACCATGCATAGACGAAAAAAACACCAGTAGACTTAAAATGACAATCAGTAAAATAATATAGATACGAGTGTATATTCTCTGTTTGGATACGTTGGTATGATTAATTGATGCTGATTGAAATAGATTTACTCGAACAATTCGTACAATCAAATACATTAGTACTTGTTGTATTTGGACGATACGAGTAGTTCGTTCTACAACGAAACAACGCAGATCTATTTCAATTCTCTTTCGCTACTAAATTATATGATCTATGACAAACAGGAATATATAGAACGAGAGAATATACAGTGTAAAAACTCAAATACTGAACACCTTCCGGTCTCTACAATGTAAATTGACCGTCTGTAATATAATCGAAGACATGTAGCGCTGTCTGTCGCCAAATTAATACAATATCTAATTGATTTATGTGACTATTATGTTTAAAGTGAAAGAGAGATACAAAATCAAATGGATAGAATCATAATGTCATGTGTTATGAAATTACAATGAACGAATGTAATTCTATTTATTTCAAATAATTCAACGATTAAAATTGCATTCATTCATTATTCAATTTATAGACTTCGAAGTTAATTGATGTATTACTCGACTGCACTATCAAAACAAAAGTCTATTTTGGGTTACTTAATGTTCTACTGATAGAGTGGTTATTAAATGATTTTAGTGGTATCAATAAATCATGGAATCTTTATGTAATAAACTACAATAATTCATTATAAATGATTGATGTTAAATGTTTTTAAATTGCTATGATATTAGTCAACCTTTTTCTGTATGATCACCTCCTTAATCTGAACGAATATCAACAGATTCTATACTCTTTGTTCGTTATCAAAACATACCATAATCAGACGAGCTGAATATATTTCTATTCGTTTGTCTTCTAATTAAAAATAAAATAAATTTTCCCATCAATGGAATGACCAATCGAAGACCTTGATTGATTCCACTACAAACAGTAATAAGTAAGAGAATTGCAACTGTTATATCGCGTCGTTTTATAATTTTGTATGAACAAGCAATTGGTGCACATTGTTCATAGAACAGATCAAATTGATCATTTTCATTGATTATTCGTTCAATGAACATTTCATCAACTAATTTAGTGATTTCAATACCTCGAAATCGTGTTAATATTGATAAATTGAGCGGTTGAATATTTGGGAAAGGTTCAAAATCGATGGCGAGTTTGTAAGTAGTTCGAATATTTTCAATATAAGTCGAATTGTACCACCAATCGATTTCTGATCGAAGAAAGCCAACTATAGGTATACAACCGATCTTTAATTCATTGAATATTTGTAAAAATTCTAATGCTTGTGTTCCATTCGAATAAATAATTGCTTTCAAAAAACAATTTTGGATTTGAGAAGCACATGAACATTTTCCTTTTGTCGTATAAAACAAACGTGTTATCATGCTGGCGAGAGAGAAGCGTATATCTTGAGCATCTACTTGACCATCGTTATGAAATTTTATACGGAAATTCATGTTTACGCTTGTCAAAAGTCGACTAGCAACATTGCCAATATGAACCCATTTTGATATACGTGCAAAATCATTACGTATTTTGATAATAAATGAATCAGTTATGTATTGATTTTCTCGACGAAATAATGTTTGCGATGGTAGATATTCATTAATATATTGTGTCGAATTAAATAAATGTTGTGCATCGGCAATGTTTGTTTCGACTAGAGAACAAAACATTGAGAGAAATTGAAAATAAGATACACCGTAACTGCGGAAATCACGTGAAAAATCTGTTTTTGTCCAAATTGGTACATTATTTGGATCGAATAAGGCCAGATATTTCAACCATGTTGAAGAAACCAAAGTACTCGAACAGATTTGATGTAAAACAAATGTAAGATTAAGAAATGTTCCATAAGGAACAGAAATTTGTGAACAAGGGCATTGTAAAGTCGAGGAATATTTTTCATATAATTTTTTATAAGTTTGTTCAGATGGACTTTCAACTGTTATAAGATGATCTTGATAAGGAAAAACAATGTAAATACCAGCGATGATTGAACATAAAATTAATATGAGAATAAAACATCGTGTTAAAATTCGTCCTTGTTCAAAATCATCAGTTGTTTCTGTGTCTTGTTGTTGTGTTGAAAAGAGATTTAAAGTGCTTAGAAGTTTAAAGACTTTGGTTGGCAAACACCGAATATAGTCAAACATTTTTACTATAATCAAGGAAAAATACGATAATGTTCTTTCGATTTTCAGGGTGTGAATGAGTAGAAGATTTCCAATACATAAAAGACGCAATAGTGTCACTCAATTCGATTATGGGAGATAGAGATAGCAATGTTCGTCTTTCGTCTTCATTGTTTACGATCCACATTAAACACACGTCCGTGAAAGGAAAGACAGCCTAAATGCTATCCATATAGTTTATTTTCCTTCATCATTTATTTGTTCACAGATAAATACTCGTATACTTTTGAAACAAACTAATTGATAATTTATATTTGTCAAAGCATTGACTCTTTTGATTATTGAAGAACAATTGTGGATTGTGTGGGGAATAGCTGGGTGCGCACTGCATTACAGTTTGACCTTTGACAATGCAGAGTTATTTCAAGCTGAGATATTAATCTCTCGTTGTAATAAATTCACCTTGATTTTTAGGATCTGTCCTTTAATCTCGTCTATATTTTCTCGTACTCTCAATCTCACTTTGTCGTCACAGTAATTGACACTACACTCTTCACATTAGAGAGTTGTGGATCCTCACATCTTCATTCGATTCATGACTATTCACTTCACATATGTCTATACCATCTACCTTGATCTTAAGTAAATCGGAACTTACCGAGATATTGATAAAGACGTATTATCATTCCTAACGGTCGTTCGCTCGTATTGGTCTCTTGGCTTTTATCACGTAATAGAAATTTAACGATAAAATGCATCAGCAACTTCAGTATAAATGCACTTGGACCAAACATACCAATAATGGTCGTGATGATATCGATTAGTGAGAAGTATTTTGTATAACTGTAAAAACATCGAGCTGGTCGACATTGTTGATAAAATAATTCGAACAAAATCTTAATATTCAAATCATCAATCATAATATCATCAATCAACATTTGTACTGTTGAATTTGTCAAAAAATACTTATTTGCTTTACTAGATAATAATTCTACTTCGACATTTGATTGTTCATGTAATTGAGAAAAACATGTAGAATTATAATAACATTCAAGTGTTGAACGTAATGTTGCATCAGTCATGTAACAGTCAGCAATCATTCCAGGAATTGAATTATTAGAATTCGTGTTGATCACAAGTGGATGTGGACAACCATGGCGATTTAAACAAGAACAATTGTTGTATATTCTTGGTATCATTTGTGGATCATGACTAGATTGAGAAATATTTGATAAATAACCTAAATAGAAATTTGTTGTTAGACCAGATATAAACTGATTTTCGATAGTAGTTCGTTGAATGACAAGTAAATCACGTTTAAGAATAGTTTTAGCTAATGAGATTGAATTATAAAGTGCCATTTTAGTTTGACTTTGAACAACTTGTTCATTGAGTGCCATTGGACTGAGAATATACGATTGACCAAAATTGATGATAACATCAATCCATGTTTGATTACTTATATGACAAAAATCAGCGATAATTTGCCAAAAATACGCTAAATGATATCGAATATTAGACTGTTGATATTGTTGTTGCATAATTGAATCAATCCAAGTTTTCTGAACAAAACGACTTGAACAAACTTGATGAAATTGAACATCAACATGTACAAATGTTTCATAAGCGATACCAATTTTTGAACATAAACATTGAATNAACATGTTGTATTTTGATTGGTAGGTACAGTGAGAAACATTGAATTATCTCCTTCCGTATTATTGATCTTAACAAACTTCCACGATGATGTAAATAAACCGATTAATGCATTACCCTGTATGGTTGAACGTAGAAGATCTAGAGTTCGAGCAAATGCTTTTACTGTTGTTAATTTCATTTGATTTAATGTGATGTTGATCTTAGTATTAAATTCCATACGAGGTATTATATTATATGCCAACATAGTTGAAGTAAGAAATGTTTGAATATCATGTAAAACACTTTCTTCTGCTAATTGACATATCTCTTTAATGCCATCAATGAAAGCATTGCTCCATGTTTGAAAATCAATCTTATTCATAGGCAACTCTCCTGATTCAAGTACTCTGCCTACAGTTAAACTGTGGTCAACAGCATTAGTTGAACATATTTGATGAAAGGCAGCGACATTGAATAATGTAACAAATGATCGATATGGAATCGAGATTTTTGTACAAGCACAGTCAATATTACCATCATGTAAATCATACAAATATTCATAGTCTTCAATCGATGGTTTCACATAAGTTCTTGTAATATGACGACCATGCGTAGACGAAAAAAACACCAGTAGACTTAAAATGACAATAAGTAGAATAATATAGATACGAGTGTATATTCTCTGTTTGGATACGTTGGCCGTATGATTAATTGATACTGATTGAAATAGATTTACTCGAACAATTCGTACAGGCAAATACATTAGTACTTGTTTCATTTGGACGATACGAGTAGTTCGTTCTACAACGAAACAAACGCAGATCTATTTCAATTCTCTTTCGCTATACTAAATTATATGGCCTATATGACAAACAGAAATATATAGAACGAGAGAATATACAGTGAAAACTCTAATGCTGAACACTTTCCGGTCTCCACGATGTAGATTGACCGAAAACATGTAGCGCTGTATGTGACTATTATGTTTATAAAGTGGAAGAGACATACCAAATTAAATGAACAGAATCAATGTCATGTGTTATGGAATTATAATGAACGAATGTAATTCTATTTATTTCCAATAATTCAACGATCAAAATTGCATTCGTTCATTATTCAATTGACAGAGTCTAAGTTAACTGATGGGTTACTTAATGTTCTACTGATACAGTGGTTATTAAATGATTTTAGTGGTATCATAATAAATCATAGAATCTTTATGTAATAAACTACAATAGTTCATTATAAATGATTGATGTTAAATGTTTTCAAATTGCTATGATATTAGTCAACCTTCTCCTATATGATCACTTTCTTAATCTCAACGAATATCAACAGTCTCTGAGGGTGTTCATGTTGTAGAGATTTTGCTTTACTAAGAAACACTTTCGTTCAATTCTATACACTTTGTTCGTTATCGAAACATACCATAATCGAGCAAGTTGAACATATTTCTATTCGTTTGTCTTCTAATTAAAGAGAAAATAAATTTTCCAACCAATGGCATGATCAATCGAAGGCCTTGATTAAGTCCACTACAAATAGTAATAAGTAATAGAAATGCAACTGTCATATCGCGTCGTTTTGCAATTTTGTATGAACAAGCAATTGGTGCACATTGTTTATAGAACAGATCAAATTGATCATTTTCATTGATTATTCGTTCAATGAACATCTCATCAACTAATTTAGTGACTTCAATACCTCGAAATCGTGTTAATATTGATGAGTTAAGCGGTTGGATATTTGGGAAAGGTTCAAAGCCAATGGCGAGTTTGTAAGTAGTTCGAATATTTTCAATATAAGTCGAATTGTACCACCAATCGATTTCTGATCGAAGAAAGCCAACTATAGGTATACAACCGATCTTTAATTCATCGAATATTTGTAAAAATTTTAATGTTTGTGTTCCATTCGAATAAATAATTGTTTTCAAAAAACAATTTCGGATTTGAGAAGCACATGAACATTTTCCTTTTGTCGTATAAAACAGATGTGTAATCGTGTTAGCGAGAGAGAAGCGTATATCTTGAGCTTCTACTTGACCATCGTTATGAAATATTACACGGAAATTCATGTTTACACCTGTCAAAAGTCGACTGGCAACATTGCCAACATGAACCCATTTTGATATACGTGCGAAATCATTACGTGTTTTAGTAATAAATGAATCTGTTATATATTGATTTTCTCGACGAAATAATGTCTGCGATGGTAGATGTTCGTTAATATATTGTGTCGAATTGAATAACTGTTGTGCATCGGCAATGTTTGTTTCGACTAGAGAACAAAACATTGAGAGAAATTGAAAATAAGATATACCGTAACTGCGGAAATCACGTGAAAAATCTGTTTTTGTCCACATTGGTACATCATTTGGATCGAATAAGGCCAGATATTCCAACCATGTTGAAGAAACCAAAGTACTCGAACAGATTTGATGTAAAACAAACGTAAGATTAAGAAATGTTCCATAAGGAACAGAAATTTGTGAACAAGGGCATTGTAAAGTAGAGGAATATCTTTCATATAAATTCTTATAAGTTTGTTCAGATGGACTTTCAACTGTTATAAGATGATCTTGATCCGGAAAAACAATGTAAATACCAGCGATGATTGAACATAAAATTAATATGAGAATAAAAGATCGTGTTAAAATTCGTCCTTGTTCAATATCGTCAGTTGTTTCTGTGTCTTGTTGTTGTGTTGAAAAGAGATTTAAAGTGCTTAGAAGTTGAAAGACTTTGGTTGGCAAACATCGAATATAGTCAAAAAATTTTACTGTAATCAAAGAAAAATGCGATAATGTTCTTTCCGTTTTCAGGGTGTGAATGAGTAGAAGATTTCCAATATATAAAAGACGCAATAGTGTCACTCAATTCGATTATGGGAGATAGAGATAGCAAGATTTTCTTCTTTCGTCTTCATTGTTTACGATCCACATTAAACACACGTCCGTGAAAGGAAAAACAGCCTAAATGCTATCCATATAGTTTATTTTCCTTCATCATTTATTTGTTCATAGATAAATACTCGTATACTTTTAAAACAAACTAATTGATAATTTATATTTGTCAAAGCATTGACTCTTTTGATTATTGAAGAACAGGTGTGTATTGTGTGGGGAATAGCTGGGTGCGCACTGCATTACAGTCTGATCTTTGACTTAATGCCGAGTTATTTCAACCTGTGATACTAATCTCTCGTCGTGATAAATTCATCTGGATTCTTAGGATCTGTCCTTTAATCTCGCTTATATTTTCTCGTACTCTCAATCTCACTTTGTCGTCACAGATAATTGACATTGTACGCACTTCCACATTAGAGAGCTGCGGATCCCTACATCTTCATTCGATCCATGACTCTTTACTTCACATATATATCTATACCATCTACCTTGACCTTAAGTAAATCGAAACTTACTGAGATATTGATAAAGACGCATTATCATTCCTAACGATCGTTCGTTCGTATTGGCCTCTTGGTTTTTATCACGTGATAGAAATTTCACGACAAAATGCACCAGCAATTTCAGTATGAATGCACTTGGACCAAACATACCGATAATGGTCATGGTGATATAGATCAGTGAGAAGTATTTTGTATAACTGTAAAAACATCGAGCTGGTCGACATTGTTGATAAAATGATTCGAACAAAATCTTAATATTCAAATCATCAATCATAATATCATCAATCAGCATCTGTACTGTTGAATTTGTCAAAAAATATTTATTTGCTTTACCAGATAATAATTCTATCCCGACACTTAATTGTTGATGTAATTGAGAAAAGCATGTGGAATTATAATAACATTCAAGTGTTGAACGTAATGTTGCATCAGTCATGTAACAGTCAGCAATCATTCCAGGAATCGAGTCATTAGAATTCGTATTAATCACAACTGAATGTGGACAACCATGCCGATTTAAACAAGAACAATTGTTGTATATTCTTGGTATCATTTGTGGATCATGACTAGATTGAGAAGTATTTGATAAATAACCTAAATAGAAATTTGTTGTCAGACCAGATATGAACTGATTTTCGATGGTAGTTCGTTGAATCACAAGTAAATCACGTTTGAGAATAGTTTTAGCTAATGAGATCGAATTATAAAGTGCCATCTTAGTTTGACTTTGAACAACTTGTTCATTGAGTGCTATTGGACTGAGAATATACGATTGACCAAAATTGATGACAATATCAATCCATGTTTGATTACTTATATGACAAAAATCAGCGATAATTTGCCAAAAATACGCTAAATGATATCGAATATTAGACTGTTGATATTGTTGTTGCATAATTGAATCGATCCAAGTTTTCTGAACAAAACGACTTGAACAAACTTGATGAAATTGAACATCAACATGTACAAATGTTTCATAAGCGATACCAATTTTTGAACATAAACATTGAATTGTAGTCGAATATTTTCTCATCAATTTGTTAAATTGAAGATTTGTTGGAAAGTATACGACGTCATTGATTGATTGTGGACTAAAGGCAGCAAATAGGCCGATACCAAAAACAGTCAGAGCATACAAAATGATATAGACGCGGGTTGCGTATCGTTGTCGACGAATAGTTTGCTCATCCGTGATATTACTTTGAAAAAAATTCAATTCGACGATGGTTTTTTTCAGTCTTCTATTTCTCATTTGAAAAAATTTGAAGTACACGAGCTTTAGACAAATGTATGTGAATACATTCTATTTGGATAACAGACTGACAGAAAAGCAAAAAAGATGGTAAACCAAATATTATCAAAACAAGGTCTCATTCTATAAATTAATATATTGAAGCGTTTGAAAGACTTCATATGACGTAGTGCACTTTTTTCGAGGATATATCGTGATTTTTCCTTCTTTATCTGTTGATCTATGTATTGTTTTATTAGATTGAGCGTGATTAAGATGAAGTGAGATGTTGACACATTCAATGATTCGGTATTTTTCAACATAAAAGAATATTCTTCATTTGAAGATTGAGCCGTATTTTCCTGGATAGAATGACGTAAAACTCGGTTAAATATCTCAGTATTTGTTTTGCGTGATTAATATTATAATTTTGAGACAGGGATATACCCGTCTTATGAGCCATATATTTGTAATTAGAATGACACAGTTAAAAGTCATTTCTCACATAAACATTTCCCGTGAATGAACATATAAAATAAAAAGTTCTCGAATCTGATCATTTCCCATGTCGATAAATATGGGATCTGAGCAGCAGTCGATTCTGCAAGATTTTGAGAGGTTGTCGAAGTCGGATTCCAGATCAGAAACTTTTTCAAAGCTTCCGCTAATTCTCTGTTATGTTCACGGTCAACAAAAACCGGGAATTGTTGGAAAGTTCTCTAAGAGCGAGAAGTGACAAGTGTATTGAATCTTTTCATTTTGCCCACGATACAATTCATTCGTAGTCAGTTGTTGTGCTCACAAAGGTATGTTCAAATAAGTGCAGAAAATATCCAAAAAAGTCATAAAATCAGAGTAGGACTCGAGCGTACATCTTTTAATAATCGGTCGGATATTTGATTGATTAAACTATCTGATATCTACTTCAGTCAGTTAATGCCTGCACATCAGAACATAACTAACTTCGAATTCCGTCGTGGACAAAATAAAAGGATTTATGATACTCGATTCTTCTTCATTTATATCCTCATATTCGCCCTAAAAAGTTGATCTATAATATTCTTATAATGTTTCTTTCTTTCGACATATAGAGACTGAAAAGAACATGTACAAAACAACTATGGATTTTCTGGAGTGCAGTAAAATCATGTAGATTCGCTTAAATGTCGTCTTGCTTCTTGTACTTATCAAAATAAATATAACGATTCTTTCGTTCAAACATGAGTAATTGTTCACAAAGTAAGACTAAAAAGGACAAAACCTGCGAAGTTGACGGATAATTGTGAGCAAACAACTTTTCACGTTCTAAGTGCAAGAAATAATTGAAAAAAAAGGAGAACACATCCTATTTCCTAATGTTGCACATTGCAGAAGACAATTTTTATTTGGTTAAATTTGCAGATCCAAGAAGTAGGATTATCCAGTATGAGATTATTTGTGTATATTCAAAAATTTCTGCTATTCCTCTAATTTTCCTTATCGCTTTGTAGTAATAGGATACAATTAACAAAATATCGCAAATGCCGGCGCACTAGCTCAGTCTTATTGTAATCCTTTCAAAGTTCTTTCGAATGTGTGTTTAGAGAAACTACGATAATAACGTTATGAAGTAGAAATAAAAGACCAACTCATGATGAGAACAGAAAATATTTTGTTATCAGATATCAAATAAAGAGTATATAGTTTGAGGGACTGATATTTTGTTGCACATAGATAAGATGTCATCCGACAACGAGAACGAAAGTGTTCTAATTGGTAATGATTCGGATTTCTGGCGATATTCTGGCAAAAATGGCTTTGATTTGACTCGAGGAAGTGATCATTCTCTTCGCTTACAGACAACAACTCAACCTATTACGATCGACCCGACTCGCACGGCGTTAATCATCATTGACATGCAAAACTTTTTTATTCATCCGTCTGTGCGTTCACATCCAGCAGGTCTGGTTGCATGTGAACAACTCCTCCGATTCGCCATTCCTGCAGCGCGCAAATCAGGTATTCAAGTTATTTGGTTAAATTGGGGCTTAACCGACGATGATATTCATCAGGCTCCGCCTTCCTTAAAACGAGCGTTTTCACGTGGGTTAACAACAGAATCGAGCTCGGGGACAAAGTCTATCTACACAGGTCTTGGCAGTGAATTAGGAGAGATTGTTCTTCCCAGTGGCGAACATATCAATGGTGGCAGATTACTGATGCGTGATACTTGGAATGCGAGTCTTTATGATCCACTTTTTGAGAGCTATCAAAATAGTCAATCCCATACAAAAGCTGATCAATGGTTTCATAAGGTAAATTAGTCAATGAGCGATGGAAATAATATTGTTTTACTTGTATAATAGGATCGTGTTTCTGGCTTATGGTCTCATGATTCTCCATTGCTCTCATATCTTCGTTCGAACAGAATTGTTACGTTAATCTTTGCTGGTGTGAACACCGATCAATGTGTGGCGGGTACATTACACGATGCTGAATACAAAGGCTTTGATTGTATTCTCTTGAGTGACGGTTGTGGTACGATGAGTCCGTCATTTGCACGTGAATGTGTTGAATATAACTGTAGTAGAGGTGATGGATTTCTAATAGATAGTGAAACACTTGCTAAAAATATTGAAGATTATTTAAATTAGACTAACAAATAAAGATACTTTTCTTTATCAAGATGCGACGAATTGATAAGAATCTTGCGATGCAATCTTCCTCTCTTTATCAAAACTTCGATGATATAAAACGTTTTCAAAACTTCCATTTGCTTTTAAGACAATGTCGTCCTCATTTTCCATAACACCGACCCCACCTCTTGTTCTTCCTACGACAAATCCCATTTCATTAACTTCTGCTGATATTGATGCATATCGTACCAATGGTTACCATGTCGTACCAAATCTTCTCTCTCCATCTCAGCTTGAGCAATGGCGAACGATAATCTTCAATGCCGTACAAGACCGTGCGGAGAAAAAATACAAATTTGCCACAGTGTTGGAAGATGATCACACCAATGTAGATTTGGACTACTATGATAATGTTTTCACACAACGTGTGAATCTATGGCAGACACACCCATCTGTAAAAGAATTGCTACTAGAAAGTGGCTCCGTTATTGGAAAGATCGCAGCTGAGTTGGAAGGAGTCGATTGTATTCGAATTTGGCACGATCAGGCGCTGATTAAAGAATCATTTGGAAATCCAACTGCGTGGCATTTGGATGTTCCATATTGGTCCTTCACTACCTTACATGCTATCAGTGTTTGGATTGCATTAGACGATGCAACAGTTGAGAACGGCTGTATGTATTTCATGCCTGGGTCACACAAAGTTAGTCTTACATCATTCATTTATAAAAAAAAAACTAAGTGACTATCAATAGGTGATACCGAACGCCATTTCCATGAATCGAATGAGACATTTCCTGAAATCAAAATTGGTAAAAATCTTTCAGATATATTTAAGATTTATCCTGAATTGATGAAATATCCAACAATTCCTGTACCGATGAAAGCGGGTAGTGCATCATTTCATTGTGGTCATTTGATTCACGGTGCTGGTGCCAATATGACACCGGGACGGAGAGCGGCAATGACAATTCAAATGTAACAAAGATTAAGAGAAAAACGAAAATTTTTAATCTTTTGTATTTATAGGATGCCGGATAACATGGTGTTTAATGGTAAACAGAATATTTTAACAAAAGAACAAATGGATCAATTAGAAGTCGGTGTGTCAGTGTTCAATGATGATGAGCGAAATCCTGTTTTATATAGAAAGAACTGAATGAAGTGTATTTGTTTTGAATATTTCTTGTGATTTCATTTCGTTTAGTCTAGACGAAAAGATAATTAATATCGAAGGAATTTTTGAATACGGTGATTGCCAGTATCAACGACATATAAGTTAAGTTGATTATCAAGTGCAACGCCATATGGAGTAGTGAGATGTGTAGTATCGCTTCCAGATACGGTTGAAACGCCAGCAATAGTTGTTCCGTTAGCTTCATCCGATAAAAAGAATTGAATACGGTGATTGTTAAGATCTGCAACATATATATTTCCCATTGGGTCAACTGTCATACCAACTGGTGAACTAAGAAGTGCTGATGTTGAACCCATTGTTCCATTGACAGTACCAGTAATCAATTTCCATCGACTGTCACCTATTTTCCAACGAACAACATTATTTAAATTGAAATTAACAATTATAAGACTATCTGAGAAAGATTCATAATATACACTACTAGGAGAATGTAATTGTGAAGAGTTTAGTCCTGGTCCGTTTCCTCCCGCAACTACTGTTCCTGAAGTTGCATTGTAGAGATAACGCATTATTCGATGATTACCAGTATCCGCTATGTAGAGTGTACCAGTATCAGAATCTCTTGTCAGACCAAATGGTGTGAACAATTCATTGCCCGCATTACCAATGACACCTAGGCAAATAAAGATTCATGATTCACGTTAATATCAATATTGATATTTTATGTTTCTAACTACCCGTTCCAGCAATTATTCTTCCTATCGTAGCATTGTTTGGCCAAAAAAGAATCTTCGAAGAGCTATAATCTGTTATGTACATATTGTCATCAGAATCTAACAGAATATGAGTGGGCAATGTCAATCCGGTCAAAATTGATCCTGCGGTGCAATTGAGATTTCCCGCAACAGTTGTACCTGAAGTTGCATCTCGAAGCCAACGTTGAATCCGATAGCAAGTGTAATCAGCAATATACAGAGTATTTAGCCGATCTATCGCCACACTCATTGGTGTATTCAAACAATTGTTCGCTACACCTGATAGTCCAGTAATTCCGGCAACAGTTATTCCAGTTGAATTCCAACGTAACTTAGCTTCAGCTATACAAAGTAAAAAGTTCGAGAGTTTTCTTAACAAGGTAACTAACGATATGTTGTTTTCGTTCTTGGCAACAAAAGAAGTACAGGAATGAGAATACTCGATACGAGAAGCACAATACCAATGGCGATTGAAATACTTATAAAGATTTTCTTTTGTCTAAAATATTTCGTTTTATATGCAAAGACGAAAGGGAATTTCAATACTTTTCTTTTTTCTTTTTATTCGAATCTCTATGATATTCTCTTGTGATTCCCAGGCCATTTGAATTGGAATAAAACATCTGAAATTTACATACGACAATATGAACTGGAGTAATCGACAACTCACTTTAGCCTCTGTTAGTTTTGAACTGTTGACTGTGATAACCGATTGGTCTTCGAATTCTGGTGAAATTCGATATTTCTACAAAAAATAAAATAATTAATGATAATTAATCATCGGATCGAATTACTTGTAAATCTGAACGAAGACTAGTAGACTGTGTTGAATGAACAGGATTTATGATTACTTGTGGAGTTTTTTCAGATGTCATTGTAACTTTGTTTGGAAGAGGAATTTTCGGTCTTGATCGTACACACACATGGATTACGTGAGTCGATTGTGATGCATCATGAGTTACGGATCGCGGATGATGACATCGATGAACTTTTGAGCGAGTAGCTCTTACTATGACCATGATCTCAGTGCACTTTGACAGATAAAACTATAACAAATGTATTTTGCGCTGAAGAGTAGTTTTTATATGGGTGTATTCATATGTTAATAAAAACAAAGAATTGCGTTATTGGCTTTTCGATGGAAAGGCTTCTTTTTTGTTGTATTGATTAGTTTATTAACAAAGCAAAACCAACAACTCAACGAATGCATCGCATTTGAATATAAATTCAATATTGAAATACTCGAAAACAACGAAGTTTTCTTTTCTTTACGGAAAAATCACCTTTACTAACGATCGCACACGATCAAGTTGTTCTTTTGCCATCAAAACCTCCCAAAATTACTTCCATCCAATGAAATATTGGTCATAGATGCTTTCGAAAAATGATTATTATATCCTTGTATTCGACTGAGAGAACAACAAGTTAAATTGTGATGCGTACCATACGAATGGGATGAATGACTCATCACTTCCAGTCAGATTCGTTGAAAAAAACTAACAAACTACATAGATTATTATTAATTAAGATCGCTTTAAGAAAATCTACTGATTGGAGAACACTTTCCACTGATATTTGACAGCGGGAGAACCGAATACAAGTCCTGATAAGTCAGCGCACATTACTAAAGGTTTGCCTAGTTTTTGAACGTTGATTAATCCTGTTTGATAAAATAATCGGAAGGGAGAAGTTTTACATTTAGAATCTAAGAGTTTCAAAGCTGTATGTGTTCGAAATCGAATAACAACACGAGCCGATTTACTGGTATTTAATTGTGGACCATGTCTTTCGATTGATCGACCGAGTATATCCTCTGTTTCTTGATCTTCTGCCATAGCGATATCATTCCAACGAGTTTTATTGCCAATTTACATATATTGACGACGATTTTCTTGTGCAACTAATAAATCACTATTGTGTTGAACCATTGTCTACACTGCAATTGCGATAGGAACAGAAAGAACGATAAGTAATTGAGCGATTTCAAGGCATGAACATCGTTTTCTTATCTCCTCGATTTTCGCATCGAAAAATGACTGACAAGAACTCGCTTTTTATGTCATTTCTATTCAGTTTCAAACAAATATTGATCGCGTTTCATATTTCTTTCTCTTCTCATTCATTGTTTCAATGAAACTTTATTTAATCGCGTAGAATTGAGTAATTGGCGTCATATGAAACTGCAAAAAACTTTATTAAGATTTGTCTAATGGACGATCTAGAAGAACATGGAAGTCGAATCAACGATTGCTTGTGCAATATTACGAGGTGTGATAAGTATTTGGGAAATCTTCTCCGAAAAATACTCGAACATTGATGGTCGATCACGAAAGAAGATATTTGATGACTAAAAGAAGAAAAAACAAACAAGACGATTAAGTTGAGATTCATTTGGTCATTTTGACTTACTTGTTCTCCAAGCCACAGATGAATAGATTGTGGTGTGTCATTATTTCGTCCAGTGAATCCAATTTGACACGTAACCGAAGAATATTTTGCCAATTGTTTGATTTCATTTGCGATTACATCTGGATTAAAGCGAGTTTTCGAAAAGAGCACTGTTGAATCTGTAAGATCGAATGATATACTCGACACTTGCTTAAATTGATTGAGATTATCCACCATATCCGTTGTTGATGTGATCGGCCATGAATAGATATGTTCGACGCATGGAAATAAGTAACTTAATTTGCTAAGATTATAAATCTCTTCTTGTGGATAGGGGGAGAAATCGAATCTGAGTGTGCGTATTTGTTTGAGTTGTATCAATTGAATTCGATTAAATAAATCAAACCAAAAGGATGAATTGTCATCGTGTTTAAATTCTAAAGTATGAAGTCGTGGTAGAAGATATTGAACATCTTTCAAAATGTGGAATGAAGAAGGAGAAATTATTAAACATTCAATTTGCTTTAAATCAACAATAGTCGATAGACTTTGCAAAGATTTTTTCCAAGACAATCGTAATTTTTTAATCGAGATCAATCGCGGAAGATTGGCGAATTGATATTCATGAACGATTTCATTGTTGGGTATTGTTGAATAGATCGGTGATTCGTGATTGATTTCGAAATATGATAGATTGAAAGCAGAACCGGTAAGTGTACATAAATAGTTACAAAAACCAACCACAAACCAACATTTCTCTTCCAGCCAAAACGGTGTACGAAATGAATCGAGGGTTTCGTCAGTTATACCGCCAATCGTGCTGAAGAGAAAATTGAAGGAAGTCAAAGATTGTGTGATCGTTTGCCACCAATGTCCGTTAATCATACTCGCATCGTTCATTCCATGCGTAGATTCGATGTCAAAATGAGTTAAATTCGGAAAATTTCGTAAGGTATGTTCGATTGTATCGATGGATAATAATGTAACTATCAGAATAAGATCAAATGCTTGGCGATCTTTCTAAGAAGAAGAAAAAAAAACGATGCAACACTCACATCCTACTGTCAAACTGAATCGTCGTAATGAATAACACGGCTGAATATGACGAAAAACACCAAAACCATTGCCATGAAACGTAATCGATTGAAGTTGAGGTGCGTGTTGAACGATTGATTTAATATTTTCACATGAATTTCCACCAAAATCTAATCGACGCAGATTGGAACATGGAATTGACTCGACACAATCAATGCAGTTTGTTGATAAATATTCTAATTGAGGTAGTATTCGAGTGTAGAAGTGTCGAAGAGTCGAGCGCCATTGATTTAATTCCGCTGCCACTGCTTTGGGATGGTTAAATGAAAGAGAACGAAGTCGAGTCAAATTGTGTAGTTTAGAGAAAATTTCATGTAAAGATTTAAACTCAATGTGGATCAATGAAATCGATCGAAGATTTGTGAATTGGTCAATTGGAAAATAAGATAAGAAAAGTATCGATTGATTTGGTGTATCAATATCATCAGAAAGTCGTAAGGAGATGATTTGTTCAGGTCGAATCGATTTACAAATCAGGTGAAAGTGCGATTTTCCAATGGATCGTAAATTGACTCGGTAAGTCGAATGAGAATTTAAAATCGAATCGATTCGATTGTTAAGATTTAAAAATGAATGAAGAATCTCCTCTGTTCGAAGGTATTGAAACAAAATATGAAGTAATTCAGTCGGTAATTGATTAAACGAACTAATTTGATTCATTGCAATGTATTCAGAAAGACAGTTTTGCTTTTTGTTTCTATGTAAAAAGATAAAAAGAAAGAGAAAGACATGAAACATCTTTTGTAAGTTAGATAAGAAATGTTTTATTTAATTCTTTTCGTCATTGATCATGTTTGCGTTATCATCATGGATGTTTAATAGTTTCAAGAGCAGTCATGTCGGTATTTTAACCAATAGGACGATTAAAAATAAATTTTGGCAAGATTAGATAATGTGTTAGTATACTCATTACAATCGCACACAGATAATACAGGAAAAAGTCTCAGGTAACGTCAGCGAAGTTTTTCCATTTTATCGACAATAAGTTGTCCGATATTGATATTTATCCAATTTCGCTTTCGATTCGTAGATGTTCTACCAGGCGTCCATATTTCTGTTCCACTCCCTGTTGATGTCATAAGAACCGTTTTTTTTTTGTGAATGTCCATTGACATAGATTTCTTGTTTCTTTCGTGATACTTGTGTTACAACATGATACCATCGAGAATAAAACAAAGATGTTTACTCATAGCAGAGGTTAGCTCAATTCTTACGTGTTGAGTTCGATAGGTGTTGTTGAATTGAAATCAAATTGAATGTGCTCGTCTGAAATCATCATTTGATTCTGTATGAATTGCGCTGCTTCTGAAAAACCTAAATGAAGCCAAATCTGGTCAGGATGTTCCCATGCACCAATTACTGTTTGAAAAGGCATGGTATTATGCAGTGGAGACCATTCTGTAGCAAGGAAACAGCAAAGTAATCTGTTTGGTAACGAGGGAACTCATTTACGGGTACAGTAATAACTGAGTTTCCATCGCGACGAAGACATGAACCAAGAAAACAGTGTGATTGAATTGGATTTCCTACGAGCGAGAAACTAATCATGACCCAATTTATCTGCATCTTCAAATGTTCAGTGACCAACAAGATATTTTTTCTTAAAAATGTTAAATCTTTTATTTAGAAAAAGATTACTGACAACGATACAACGCCACAGTCGACAAGTCCGTGAAATAACTAGAAGATCATGAAGATTTTCGTCAGCCAGCTAGAATAAGATTGTAGTGAGCATTTCTATAGGAATATCACCAATACAGTGTGTCGTCGAGATGTACGTCTCGTCATTCAATTGTATATTATCAAAAGTAAAACTGCGTTTTCGGAGAAAATGATTTAAACCAAATGATCTTCTTTGAGTTGAAGGAATAGATTTCAACAGCGTACGGCATAGTGCCTTAGTCTTACGGGAAAACTTTCAAAATGTCCACAATTGTAATAATCATGCTTGATCACAGTTAGTTTTTAGCACCTTCGAACGGTTGGCAAGCGTTGTATATTCGCCTTGTCGATGACTGTAAAATAAGCACGTGGTAGTAAGAAAAGAAAGAAAAAAAACTCGAAGTTTTGTCAAGATATTAGGAAGAAAGTATAAGTTGAGGATGATAGTCGTATCGTGTACATGGTGTTTCATAATAATGTGTGTTGGAAAACGTCAAACACTTCAGATATTCGATTACTTATGCATTTATAATCAGATTTCAAAACGAAACAAGTAAAATTTATTTGAACTATTGAGAGCCAATAATAACATAGTTGACAATGAATATTATATCCAAAAGAAGACAAAAGTCGATCTCTTGGTTATACAAATTCAGCCGAGTCATAAAGAAAGATATACTTCGTTTGAGAGACTCATACATTTTATTTCTAGATTTTCATGAAACACGCAATATGCATTTAAATCCATCGACAGACGAAAAACAATGAAGGAATTCTTTAAAGACTTCAATACTTTCTTTGATAAAGGTCCTATGGATCAAAATATGATGTAAGAGTGTTTTTCGTGTGCGAGAATATTTAATTTAAATTAGGAATAAGTGTATATATGTGATATTATATAAAAAATCTAACATCCAAAAACAGTTTCTTTACGAGAAAGAACTGAGTGAGTCCGTAGATTGGTGATGGCCCGAGCGAGTTGAATGACTGATAAATGATCGAAGAAGAGATGCGTATTGATTTCAGTAGAAATTTCTCGTTGCAATAAAGTTATTAGTTGTAAAGCCTTGAGAGACGTACCACCTTGTTCAAAAAATGATTTGTTCACGTCGATGTCGTCTGTTGTACAATCCAGAATTCGAGAGAAAACGACTTGAATGGATTTCATGAGCTCTGTTTGCTGTTGTGATATATCAATAATAGGTATTGAACACGGTATACTGACTTCCTAAAACAAATATATACATAGTCATAGATAACAAGTTTTGATTTGTTTATTACTTGATTTGTCTCATTTGTCTCGTTTGTGTTCAGTGTGATAATCTCATTCAAAGGTAAGTGTAACTGATCTGTACGATTCGAACCAAACAGCTGAGTGAGTAATTTTACCAAAGAATTCGCATGTTGTTCAATCGTTTCTCGTTCAAAGACATCAGACATGTATCCCCAAACACAATCAATAGTCATAGCGTGTTTGTCAAAGGAAAATGAGACGTCCAAATCGAATTTGTATCCCACATCAATATCTTTTATTGGCTTCTTATAAGTAGAAATACGACATGAATCACCAAACATGATGTCATCCATATTTGTATAATCGATCAGTGTCGTATCGACACTGAAAATTGTTTGGAGATATGGAAATTGTAAGTGAGAATTTGGTACACGATGCAAATCAATCAGTTTATCATAAGGTAAGTGTGCATGTTGAACACTTGTCAGAAATGCCTTTTGTACTTTATAGACGAGTTCAATGAAGGAGAGTTTATCAAGATCAGCATTGACGATACGACACGGAAGAATATTAACAAACATGCCGATCATCGAGACAAGTTCTGGCCGATATCGATTCTGATGAATAACACCCACACATGCATCTCGATTATGTGCTGAAAGTTGAGCCAGAAAGAGATAGTAACATGTGAGACCCAATTGGAATAAGGTGACATTGAGTTCGTTAGCACACATAACCATTGAGCGCGCAATTTCTAATGGAATGGTAATACTCAACAGCTCGCCTTGACCCGTACGGCGAGCTGATAACGATTGTTTAGTACTACCCAGATTTAATTGACGATCCCAGGCATAATCACATAGAAGTTCTTTCCAATAAGTACATGCTTCCGACATCAGTAATGTTCGTTCATGAACAGAATAATCGATATACTGAAGACAAGGTGTCTGTAGTTCCTCACCTGCATAAGCCAATTTCAATTCATCTAAGAACAAATCTATAGCTTGTCCATCGAATGAACCATGATGAAAATTAAATAGGAGTAAATCATTAGTTAATAATATGTCTTTGTTATCGCCGTGATCATAACGAATGAAGTGACAGCGAAAAACACCATTATTTTCTGTGTCAAATGGTGTCCACATTTCTTCGCGCAATATCTTCTTCTGTTGTTGTTCATCATGGACGGTGCTCACGCGCATAGGATAAGTTATTGCATTATGAATCGACTGACGCAATATACCATGTTTGACATCGAACATGAGTCGAGTACGAAAGATCCAATGTTTACTGACTACGGAATTTAGCGCCTGAAGACACCGGTCAATCGACAATTGACCAGCATCAATTTGAAATATCATATTCATATTAAAGACGGGTGCGAGTTGCGGCCAATCTATGAAACGAGTATGTTCAGCCAACCAGATACTCGTTTGAGCATATGAAGCAGGACCTAAAAGAAACAGTACTTTTATCGTTCAGCGAACACTAACAATCGCTCTACTAACCTTCGATGATATTAAGTGGAATCCATGGTAAATGGAGAATGACTTGACGTTCTTCGATCAGACGAGCATGATCAGCAATCGTTGTAGAACGAAAAAGTAAACTAATGTCGATTGATTGTCGAAATTGAGTTTGATAGTTGTGATGAAGTTTCATGAGAAGAAGCGAATGGCCACCGAGTTTAAAAAAACTGATATTGATCGTAGGAATGTGTTTCAGACCGAGCACTCGACACCAAATTGATGCTATATGTCGCTCCAAGTCGCTTCGATGCTGTTCGTCTGATTCTGTCATATCCGAAGAGAGGAGTGAAAAATCAGGACATGGCAATGCCTTTCTATCTAATTTTCCATTGAGATTCAATGGAAAGTTATCGACGAGAACAAACAACGACGGTACCATGTACAAAGGTAGATGTTTCGAGCATTCATCACGCAATATGTTAGTGTTCAGATGGATTTTTGTTTCAACATAGGCTACAATATGTTCTAGGTTCTCGTGAGTGACCTTGACGACGACACAATTAGTAATATCCAATGAATATAGCATGATGACTGTTTCTATTTCGCCTAATTCAATTCGTTGTCCTCTCAACTTCACTTGAAAATCTTTGCGACCGACAAATACCAATTGTCCATCTGAAGTAATTCTGGCCAGATCACCTGTTCGATAGAACACACCATCAACATTAGGTATTTGAACAAGTACCCGTTCACTCGCTTGAGGATCATCGAGATAACCCGAAAAGATGCCAACGCCACCAAGAAATATCTCACCAATATGTCGTCCATCAGGTAACACTTGCTGACCATAGTTATCAAGTACAAGAACTTTTCGACCTGGTAGACACCGACCGATCGGCACAATCTCCGGAATGATGCTGTCTGTAGCTTGCATTCTGTAGGCCAGCGCAGATATGGTGCATTCAGCTGGAGCATATATATTGGCCAAACAGCACGACTTTGGTAAATACCTAAATAAGCTGCTTGCCGCCTTCCTTTGTAACTGTTCTCCTGAAAGATGAGAAAGAATCATTTTTTAAAATATAGCGTACTATAAATTACCTCCGACAGTGATTAATTTCAGTGTAGCAAGACAGTTGGATATTTCTGGGTCGCCATTCCTGTTTAGGTAATCGGACAAAACGGATAACGATGTTGGTACAAAGTCGATCATGGTTATTTGGTTCTTTACAATTGTTTGACAAAGATAATATGTATCGAGATTACCATGTGGTCGAAGTAATACGAGTGTCGCACCACAAATGTAACTTCCCAGATATTCATCAACATGTTCATCGAATGAACAACTACCCATTTGAATTATTACATCATTTTCGCGATTGGAGAGCAGTTGGTTATGCGAATGCACCATATACGTGAAGTTTCGATGGCTAATGGGTACTACTTTGGGTGTTCCTGTCGAGCCACTCGTGAAAATCAAAAAAGCGATGTCGTCCATCAGTACATTCACGTCTGTCGACGATTCAAAGTCACCTTTAATTATATTCTCCACCGATACTTTGTTCTTCGGAATGAGATGATCGGTAGTCGAGTGAGTGAGAACACATCGTGGTCGAGTGAGATCAGTCAACAACTGCAGTCGTTCGAATGGTTCATGAGGTGAGAGTGGAAGGTACGAAGCACCACTAAACAGAATTGCCATGATACCAATGGCCATTTCAATCGACCGCTCAACACATTGACCAACGATATCGCCTCGTTCTACTTGACAGTGATCGATGAGATGNCATCAACATGTACAAATGTTTCATAAGCGATACCAATTTTTGAACATAAACATTGAATTGTAGTCGAATATTTTCTCATCAATTTGTTAAATTGAAGATTTGTTGGAAAGTATATGACATCATTTATTAATTGTGGACTAAAAGCAGCAAATAGACCGATACCAAAAACAGTCAGAACATACAAAATGATATAGATGCGGGTTGCATATCGTTGTCGACGAATAGTTTGTTCATCCGTGATATTACTTTGAAAAAAATTCAATTCGACGATTGCTTTTTTCAGTCTTCTATTTCTCATTTGAAAAAATGTGAAGTATGTGAGTTTTAGAGAAATGTTTGTGAATACATTCTATTTGGATAAAAAACGGATAGAAAAGCAAAAAAGATGGCAAACCAAATATTATCAAAACAAGGTCTAGGTCTCTTAATTAATATATTAAAGCGTTTGAAAGACTTCATATGACGTAGTGCACTTTTTTCGAGGATATATCGTGACTTTTCTTTCTTTATTTGTCTATCTATTTATTATTTTATTTAGATTGAGTGTCATTAAGATGAAGTGAGATGTTGACATATTCAATGATTTGGTATTTTTCAACATAAAAGAATATTCTTTATTTGAAGATTGAGCCGTATTTTGTGCATAGAATGACGTAAAACTCCGCTAAATATTTCAGTATTTATTTTGCGTGATTGGTATTATAATTTTAAGACATGGATATACCCGTTTTATGAGCCATATTCGTAATCAGAATGACACAGACAAAAGTCATTTTTCATACAAACATTTCTCGTGAATGAACATACAAAATAAAAAGTTTTCGAATCTGATTATTTCCCATGTCGATAAATATAGAATCTGAGCAGCAATCGATTCTGCAAGATTTTGAAAGATTGTTGAAGCCGGATTCCAGACCAGAAATTTTTTTCAAAGCTTCCGCTGATTCTCTGTTATGTTCAGTCAACAAAAACCGGGAATTGTTGGAAATCTCTCTAAGAGCGAGAAGTGACAAGTATGATGAATCCTTTCATTTTGTCCATGAGACAATTTATTCGTAGTTTAGTTGATGTGCTCACAAATGTATGTTCAAATAAGTACGGGAAATTTATCCAAAAAAGTCATAAAATCATAGTAGGACTTGAGCGTACATCTTCCGATAATCGGTTGGATATTTTATGGATTAAACTATCTGATATCTACTTTAGTCAGTTAATGTCTACATATCAGAGTATCAATTTAATCGAAATGAGAAGATCAGAACATAATTAACTTCGAATTCTATCGTGGACAAAATAAAAGGATTTATGATACTCAATTTTTCTTCATTTATCCACATATTCGCCCTAAAAAGGTGATCTGTAATATCTTTATAATGTTTCTTTCTTTCGCCATAGAGATTGAAAAGAACATCTATAGAACAACTATGAATTTTCTGGAATGCAGTAAAATCATATAGATTCGCTAAAATGTTGTCTTGCTTCTTGTACTTATCAAATAAATATAACGAGTCTTTCGTTCAAACATGAGTAATTATTCACAAAGTAAGACTAATAAGGACAAAACCTGCAAAGTTGGCGGATAATTGTGACCAAACAACTTTTCACGTTCTAAGAGCAAGAAATAATTGAAAAAAAAGGAGAACACATCCTATTTCCTAATGTTGCGCATTGTAGAATACGACGAGTTCTAAAAAAAAGAATGTCGAAGACAATTTTTATTTGGTGAAATTTGCAAATCCAAGAAGTAAGATTATATAGTATGAGATTATTTGTGCATATTCAAAAATTTCTGTTGTTCTTTTGATTTACCTTATTGCTTTGTGTTAATAGGATATAACTAACAAAATATCGCAAATGGCCGGCACTGTCAGTCTTATTGTAATCCTTTAAAAGTTCATTCGAATGTGTGTCTAGAGAAATTACGATAATAACGTTGTGAAGTAGAAATAAAAGACCAACTCATGATGAGAACAGAAAATATTTTGTTATCAGATATCAAATAAAGAGTATATAGTTTGAAAGACTCATATTTTGTTGCACATAGATAAGATGTCATCCGACAACGAGAACGAAAGTGTTCTAATTGGTAATGATTCAGATTTCTGGCGTTATTCTAACAAAAATGGTTTTGATTTGACTCGAGGAAGTGATCATTCTCTTCGCTTACAAACCACAACTCAACCTATTACGATCGACCCGACTCGCACGGCATTAATTATCATTGACATGCAAAACTTTTTTATTCATCCCTCTGTGCGTTCACATCCACCAGGTCTGATTGCGTGTGAACAACTTCTTCGATTCGCCATTCCTGCAGCACGTAAATCAGGTATTCAAGTTATTTGGTTAAATTGGGGCTTAACCGACGATGATATTCATCAGGCTCCACCTTCCTTAAAACGAGCGTTTTCACGTGGGTTAACAACTGAATCGAGCTTGGGAGCAAAGTCTATCTACACAGGTCTTGGCAGTGAATTAGGAGAGATTGTTCTTCCCAGTGGCGAACATATCAATGGTGGCAGATTACTGATGCGTGATACTTGGAATGCGAGCCTTTATGATCCACTTTTTGAGAGTTATCAAAAGAGTCAATCCCATACAAAAGCTGATCAATGGTTTCATAAGGTAAATTAGTCAATGAGCGATGAAAATAATATTGTTTTACTTGTACAATAGGATCGTGTTTCTGGTTTATGGTCTCATGATTCTCCATTACTCTCATATCTTCGTTCGAACAGAATTGTTACGTTAATCTTTGCTGGTGTGAACACCGATCAATGTGTGGCGGGTACATTACACGATGCTGAATACAAAGGTTTTGATTGTATTCTCTTGAGTGATGGTTGTGGTACAATGAGTCCGTCATTTGCTCGTGAATGTGTTGAATATAACTGTAGTAAAGGTGATGGATTTCTAATAGATAGTGAAACACTTGCTAAAAATATTGAAGATTCTTTACAGTAGACTAATAAATAAAGATGCTTTTCTTTATCAAGATGCAAATTGATAAGAATCTTGCGATGCAGTCTTCCTCTCTTTATCAAAACTTCGTTGATATAAAAAATTTTCAAAAGTCCTATTTGTATTTACAACAATGTCATTTTCACTTTCCGTAACACCAACTCCACCTCTTGTTCTTCCTGTTACAAATCCCATTTCATTAACTACTGCTGATATTGATGCATATCGTACCAATGGTTACCATGTCGTACCAAATCTTCTCTCTCCATCTCAGCTTGAGCAATGGCGAACAATAATCTTCAATGCTGTACAAGATCGTGCAGAAAAAAAATACAAATTTGCCACAGTATTGGAAGAAGATCACACCAATGTAGATTTGGACTACTATGATAATGTTTTCACACAACGTGTAAATCTATGGCAGACACACCCATCTGTAAAAGAATTGCTGCTAGAAAGTGGCTCAGTCATTGGAAAGATCGCAGCTGAATTGGAAGGAGTCGATTGTATTCGAATTTGGCACGATCAGGCGCTGATTAAAGAATCATTTGGAAATCCAACTGCATGGCATTTGGATGTTCCATATTGGTCCTTCAATTCCTTACATGCTATCAGTGTTTGGATTGCATTAGACGATGCAACAGTTGAGAACGGCTGTATGTATTTCATGCCTGGGTCACACAAAGTGAGTCTTGCGTCATCTATTTATCAGAACAACTAAGTGACTATCAATAGGTGACCGAACGTCATTTCCATGAATCGAATGAGACATTTCCTGAAATCAAAATCAGTAAAAATCTTTCAGATATATTTATGGTTTATCCTGAATTGAAGAAATATCCAACAATTCCTGTACCGATGAAAGCGGGTAGTGCATCATTTCATTGTGGTCATTTGATTCACGGTGCTGGTGCGAATATGACACCGGGACGGAGAGCAGCAATGACAATTCAAATGTAACAAAGATTAAGTGGAAAATGAAAATTGTTATCTTTGTATTTATAGGATGCCGGATAACATGGTGTTTAATGGCAAACAGAATATTTTAACAAAAGAACAAATGGATGAATTAGAAGTCGGTGTGTCAGTGTTCAATGATGATGAGCGAAATCCTGTTTTATATAGAAAAAACTGAATGAAGTGTATTTGTTTTGAATATTTCTTGTGATTTCATTTCGTTTAGTCTGGTCGAAAAGATAATTAATATCGAATGAATTTTTGAATACGATGATTGCCAGTATCAGCGACATATAAGTTAAGTTGATTATCTAGTGCAACACCATATGGAGTAGTGAGATGCGTAGTATCACTTCCAGATACGGTCGAAACGCCAGCAATAGTTGTTCCGTTAGCTTCACTTGATAAAAAGAATTGAATACGATGATTGTTAAAATCTGCAACATATATATTTCCCATTGGGTCAACTGTCATACCAATTGGTGAACTAAGAAGTGTTGATGTTGAACCCATTGTTCCATTGGCACTACCGGTAATCAAATTCCATCGGCTGTCACCTATTTTCCAACGAACAACATTATTTAGATTGAAATTAACAATTATAAGACTATCTGAGAAAGATTCATAATATACGCTACTGGGAGAATATAATTGTGAGGAGTTTAGTCCTGGTCCGTTTCCTCCCGCAACTACTGTTCCTGAAGTTGCATTGTAGAGATAACGCATTATTCGATGATTATTAGTATCCGCTATGTAGAGCGTACCAGTATCAGAATCTCTTGTCAGACCAAATGGTGTAAACAATTCATTGCTCGCATTACCAATAACACCTAAGCAAATGAAGATTCATGATTCGTTAATATCAATATAAATATTTTATATTTCCATCTACCCGTTCCAGCAATTATTCTTCCTATCGTAGCATTATTTGGCCAAAGAAGAATCTTCGAAGAGCTATAATCTGTGATGTACATATTGTCATCGGAATCTAACAGAATATGGGTGGGCAACGTCAATCCGGTCAAAGTTGATCCTGCAGTGCAATTGAGATTTCCCGCAACAGTTGTACCTGAAGTTGCATCTCGAAGCCAACGTTGAATCCGATAGCAAGTGTAATCAGCAATATACAGAGTATTTAACCGATCTATCGCCACACTCATTGGTGCATTTAAACAATTGTTCGCTACACCTGATAGTCCAGTAATTCCGGCAACAGTTATTCCAGTTGAATTCCAACGTAACTTAGCTTCAGCTATACAAAGTAAAAAGTTCGAGAGTTTTTTTAATAAGGTAACTGACGATATGTTGTTTTTTTCTTTTGTAGCGTCAACAGAAGCACTGGAATGAGAATACTCAATAAGAGAAGCACAATACCAATGCTGATTGATATAGTTAAGAAGATTTTCTTTTGCCTAAAATGTTCACTTTTGTATACAAACACGAAAGGGAATTGCAATACTTTGCTTTTTTCTTTTTGTTCGAATCTCTATGATATTCTCTTGTGATTCCCAGGCCATTTGAATTGGAATAAAACATCTGAAATTCATATACACGACAATGAACTGGAGTAATCGACGACTTACTTTAGCCTCTGTTAGTTTTGAACTGTTGATTGTGATAACCGATTGATCTTGGAATTCTGATGGTGAAACCGAACGAAGATTGGTAGACTTTGTCGAATGAATCGGTGTCATAATTGCTTGTGAAGTTTTCTCAGATGTCATTGCGACTTTGTTTGAGAGAGGAATTTTCGGTCGTGATCGAATAGACACATGAATAACTCTAGTAGATTGCGATCCATTATGAGTCACTGATCGCAGATGATGACATCGATGAACTTTTGAGCGGGTAGCTCTTACTATGACCATGATCTCAGTGCACTTTGGCAAATAAAACTATAACAAATGTATTTTGCACTGAAGAATAGCTTTTATATGGGTATGTGCATTTGTCAATAAAAACAGAGAATTGCGTTGTTGGTTTTTCGATGGAAAGGTTTCTTTTTTGTTATATTTATTAGTTTATTAACAAAGCAAAACAATCAACTCAACGAATACATTGTATTTGAATATAAATTCAATATTGAAATACTCGAAAACAACGAAGTTTTTTTTTCTTTACGGAAAAATCACATTTACTAACGATCGCACACGATCAAGTTGTTCTTTTGCCGTCAAAACCTCCCAAAATCACTTCCATCCGATGAAGTATTCGTAAAACTACAAAAATGGCAATAGTTATGAATAAAATCAACATTCGTCATAATTGCTTTTGAAAAATTATCACTATCCTTGTATTCGACTGAGAGAACAACCAGTTAAATTTGCCATAGTAAAGTCAACATGATTAAATTGTTATGCGTACCATACTAATGAATCAAGTAATTGAAAACGAGACGAATGGGATGAATAACTCATCACTTCCAGTCAGATTCGTTTTGAAAAAACTAAGAAGCTATACATTTCAATTCTTTCAAATCAGATTTCATTAGTTTTGCTGCAGAAAAACTTGCAAATTTCAAAAGTTTTTGTAAAACGAGCGCTGACAAGGCATGCATAACCGAAATCTACTTTTAATGATTGAATCATCACTGCTATTCACAATCAACATCGTTGCGGAAGTAAAAGCAGCATAATTAAGAATTGCACCAACAAAACGACAGTTAACCATATCAACAGATGGAAAAACTATTGTAAATTGAAATCACATCGAGAAAATCGACTCATCGAAGAACATCATTCTATTGATCTTTTGCAGCAGGCGAATTTAATGAAAGTCCTGTTATATCCGCGCTCATTCTTAAAGGTTCCTTTAGTTTTTGAACGATAATCAATCCTGTTTCATATAATGATCAAAAGAAAGTTGTCTTGCGTTTGGAATCTACGAGTTTTTAACGCTATACGTGTTCAAAATCGAACAACAATATGAGCTGATTTACTGGCATTTAATTGTGGACTATGTCTTTCGATTGATCGACCGAGAATATCCTCTTTTTGTTGATCTTCTGCCATAGCGATATCATTCCAAGGAGTTTTATTCTCAATTTGCATATCTTGACGACGATTTTCTTGTGCAATTAATAGATCACTATTATGTTGAACAATTGTATACACTGCAATTGCGATAGGAACACAAAGAACGATTTCAAGCCATGAACATCGTTTTCTTATCTCCTCCACTTTCGCATCGAAAAATGACTGACAAGAACTCGCTTTTTATGTCATTTCTATTCAGTTTCAAACAAATATTGATCGCGTTTCATATTTCTTCATTTACATTTGAATCAGTCATCAAATCAATTTATTGATATCTATAGAAAATCAGTCATGTTCCTTTCTCTTCCCATTCATTGTTTCAATGAGACTTTACTTAATCGCGTAGAACTGCAGAAAACTTTATCAAGATTTGTCTAATGGAAGATCTAGAAGAACATGGAAGTCGAATCAACGATTGCTTGTGCAATATTACGAGGTGTGATAAGTATTTGGGAAATCTTCTCCGAGAAATATTCGAACATTGTTGGTCGATCACGAAAAAAGACGATATTTGATGACTAGAAGAAAGAAAAACAAGATGATTAAGGTGAGATTCATGTGATCATTTTGATTTAGTTGTTCCCCAAGCCACAGATGAATAGATTGTGGTGTGTCATTATCTCGTCCAGTGAATCCAATTTGACACGTAACCGAAGAATATTTTGTCAATTGTTTGATTTCATTTGTGATTACATCTGGATTAAAGCGAGTTTTCCAAAAGACCCATATTGAATCTGTAAGATGGAATGATATACTCGACACTTGCTTAAATTGATTGAGATTATCCACCATATCCGTTGTTGATGTGATCGGCCATGAATAGATATGTTCGACGCATGGAAATGAGTAACTTAATTTGCTAAGATTATAAATCTCTTCTTGTGAATAGGGGGAAAAATCGAATCTGAGTGTACGTATTTGTTTGATTTGTATGGATTGGATTTGATCAAATAAATAGAACCAATAGGATGAACTGTCATCACATTCAAGTTCTAAAGTGTGAAGTCGTGGTAGAAGACGTTGAACATCTCTCAAAATGTGAAATGAAGAAGGAGAAATTATTAAACATTCAATTTGCTTTAAATCAACAATAGTCGATAGACTTTGCAAAGATTTTTTCCAAGACAATCGTAATGTTTTAATCGAGATCAATCGCGGAAGATTGGCGAATTGATATTCTTGAACGATTTCATTGTTGGGTATTGTTGAATAGATCGGTGATTCGTGATTGATTTCGAAATATGATAGATTGAAAGCAGAACCAGTAAGTGTACATAAATAGTTACCAAAACCAACCACAAGCCAACATTTCTCTTTCAACCAAAACGGTGTACGAAATGAATCGAGGATTTTTTCAGTTATACCGCCAATCATGCTGAAGAGAAAGTTGAAGGAAGTCAAAGATTGTGTGATCGTTTGCCACCAATGTCCGTTAATCATACTCGCATCGTTCATTCCATGTGTAGATTTGATGTCAAAATGAGTTAAATTCGGAAAATTTCGTAAGGTTTGTTCGATTTTATCGATGAATAATAATGAAACTATCAGAATAAGATCAAATGTTTGGCGATCTGTCGAAGAAAAACAAAAACGATGCAACACTCACATCCTACTGTCAAACTGAGCCGTCGTAATGAATAACACGGCTGAATATGACGAAAAACACCAAAATCATTGCCATGAAACGTAATCGATTGAAGTTGAGGTGCGTGTTGAACGATTGATTTAATATTTTCACATGAATTTCCATTAAAATCTAATCGACGCAGATTGGAACATGGGATTAACTCGACACAATCAATGCAGTTTGTTGATAAATCTTCTAATTGAGGTAGTATTCGAGTGTAGAAGTGTCGAAGAGTCGAGCGAAATTGATTTAGTTTCTCTGCGGTTGCGTTGGGATAATTAAATGAAAGAGAACGAAGTCGAGTCAAATTGTGTAGTTTAGAGAAAATTTCATGTAAAGATTTAAACTCAATGCGGATCAATGAAATCGATCGAAGATTTGTGAATTTGTCAATTGGAAAATAAGATAAGAAAAGTATCGATTGATTTGGTGTATCAATATCATCAGAAAGTCGTAAGGAGATGATTTGTTCAGGTCGAATCGATTCACAAATCAGATGAAAGTGTGATTTTCCAATGGATTGTAAATTGACTCGATAAGCCGAATGAAAATTTAAAATTGAATCAATTCGATTGTTAAGATTTGAAAATGAATGAAGAATCTCTTCTGTTCGAAGGTATTGAAACAAAATATGAAGTAATTCAGTCGGTAATTGATTAAACGAACTAATTTGATTCATTGCAATGTATACAGAAAGACAGTTTTGCTTTTTGCTTCTATGTAAAAAGATAAAATGAAAGAGAAAGACATGAAACATCTTTCATAAGTTAGATAAGAAATGTTTTATTTAATTCTTCTCGTCATTAATCATGTTTGCGTTATCATGATGGATGTTTAATAGTTTCAAGAGCAGTCATGTCGGTATTTTAACCAATAGGACGATTAAAAATAAATTTTGGCAAGATTAGAGAATGTATTAGTATATTCATTACAATCGCACACAGATAATACAGGAAGAAAAAATTAGGAAAACATCTCGAGTAACGTTAGCGAAGTTTTGCCATTTTATCGACAATAAGTTGCCCGATATTGATATTATCCAGTTTCGCTTTCGATTCGTAGATGGCCATGATTTCAATTGGTTCTAACCAACGTGTCCAGATGCACAGATCCGCTAGTTCACCAAGCCAAAAGTTATGCGGAAAGGGACGTAAACATTTTGCTCCAATACAGAGTGTTTCAGGTCGTTGCATTTCTTGTTTCGACCATGGAGCGTTCGGATATGTTCTGCCAGACGTCCATATTTCTGTTGCACTCGCTTTTGATGTCATAAGAACCGTTTTTTGTAAATGTCCATTGACATAGATTTCTTGTTTCTTTCGTGATACTTGTGTTACAACATGATACCATCTAGAATAAAACAAAAAAAAATGTTTATTCATAGCAAGAGCTTAGCTAAATTCTTACGTATTGAGTTCGATAGGTGTTGTTGAATTGCAATCAAATTGAATATGTTCGGCTGAAATCATCACTTGATTCTGTATGAATCGCGTTGTTTCTGAAAAACCTAAATGAAGCCAGTGTTGGTCAGGATGTTCCCATGCACCAATTACTGTTTGAAAAGGCATTGTATTGTGCAGTGGAGACCATCCTGTAACAAGGAACCAGCAAGAAACAGCAAAGCAATCTGTTTGGTAACGAGAGAACTCATTTACGGGCACAGTAATAACTGAGTTTCCATCGAGATGAAGACATGAACCAAGAAAACAGTGTGATTGAATTGGATTTCCTATAAGCGAGAATTGATCTTTCGTATAATCACACGAATCATGACCCAATTTATCTGTATCTTCAAATGTCCAGTGACCAAGAAGATATTTTTTCTTAAAAATATTAAATCTTTTATTCAGAAAAAGATTATTGACAATGATAGAACGCCACAGTCGACAAGTCCGTGAAATAACTAGCAGATCATGCAGATTTTCGTCAGCCAGCTGGAATAAGATTGTAGTGAGTATTTCTACAGGAATATCACCGATGCAGTATGTCGTCGAAATAGAGCTATTCATTGCAGAGATCATCGGTTTTTTTTTCAATATTAAAGCAGAAAAAAAAAATTTGTGCCAAATGATTGAAAATTACGTCTCGTCATTCAATTTTATACTATCAAAAGTAAAACAGCGTTTTCAGAGAAAATGATTTAAACCAAATGATCTTCTTTGAGTTGAAGTAATGGATTTTAACAGCGTACGGCACAGTGCACTAGTCTTAAGGTAAGATTCTCAAAACGTCCACAATTGTAATAGTCATACTCGATCACAGGTATTTTTTAGCCTCTTCGAACGCTTGGCAAGCGTTGCATATTCATCTTGTTGATGATTGTAAAATAATCACGTGGTATTAAGAAAAGAAAGAAAAAGCTCAAAGTTTTGTCAACATATTAGGAAGAGAATACAAGGTGAGGGTGATAATCGTGCCGTGTGCATGTTTTTTCATAATAATGTGTGTTGAAAAATGTCAAACTTTTCAAATATTCGATTACTTACGCATTTATAATCAGATTTCAAAACGAAACAAATACAATTGATTTCAACTATTTTGAGAGCCTCATACATTTTATCTCTAGATTTTCATGAAACACATAATATGCATTTAAATCCATCGACAGATGAAAAACAATGAAGGAATTCTTCAAAGACTTCAATACTTTCTTTGATAAGGTCATATGAATGAAAATATGATATAAAGGTGTTTTTCATGTGTAAGAATATATAATTTAAGTTAGGAATAAGTGTATATATGCGATATTATAACAAAAATCTAACATCCAAAAACAGTTTCTTTACGAGAAAGAAGTGAGTGAGTCCGTAGATCGGTGATGGCACGAGCGAGTTGAATGACTGATAAATGATCGAAGAAGAGATGCGTATTGATTTCAGTAGAAATTTCTTGTTGCAATAAAGTTATTAGTTGTAAAGCCTTGAGAGAGGTACCACCTTGTTCAAAAAATGATTTGTTCACGTCGATGTCGTCTGTTGTACAATCCAGAATTCGAGAAAAAACGACTTGAATGGATTTCACGAGCTCTGTTTGCTGTTGTAATGTATCGATAATAGGTATTGAACACGGTATACTCACTTCCTAAAACAAATATATACATAGTCATAGATAACAAGTTTTGATTTGTTTATTACTTGATTTTTCTCATTTATCTCGTTTGTGTTCAGTGTGATAATCTCATTCAAAGGTAAGTGTAACTGATCTGTACGATTTGAACCAAACAGCTGAGTGAGTAATTTTAACAAAGAACTCGCATGTTGTTCAATCGTTTCTCGTTCAAAGACATCGGACATGTATCCCCAAACACAATCAATAGTCATAGCGTGCTTGTCGAACGAAAATGAGACATCCAAATCGAATTTGTAACCAACCTCAATATCTTTTATTGGCTTCTTATAAGTAGAAATACGACATGAATCACCGAACATGATGTCATCCATATTTGTATAATCAATCAGTGTCGTATCAACACTGAAAATTGTTTGAAGATATGGAAATTGTAAGTGAGAACTTGGTACACGATGCAAATCAATCAGTTTATCATAAGGTAAGTGTGCATGTTGAACACTTGTAAGAAATGTCTTTTGTACTTTATAGACGAGTTCAATGAAGGAGAGTTTATCAAGATCAGCATTGACAATACGACATGGAAGAATATTAACAAACATACCGATCATCGAGACAAGTTCTGGACGATATCGATTCTGATGAATAACTCCCACACACGCATCTCGATTATGTGGTGAAAGTTGAGCCAGAAAGAGATAGTAACATGTGAGACCCAATTGAAATAAGGTGACATTGAGCTCGTCAGCACACATAACCATTGAACGCGCAATTTCTAATGGAATGGCAACACTCAACAGCTCGCCTTGACCCGTACGACGAGCTGATAACGATTGTTTAGTACTACCCAGATTTAATTGACGATCCCAAGCATAATCACATAGAAGTTCTTTCCAGTAAGTGCATGCTTCTGACATCAGTAATGTTCGTTCATGAACAGAATAATCGATATACTGAAGACAAGGTGTTTGTAGTTCCTCACCTGCATAAGCCAATTTCAATTCATCTAAGAACAAGTCTATAGCTTGTCCATCGAATGAACCATGATGAAAATTAAATAGAAGTAAATCATTAGTTAATAATATGTCTTTGTTATCGCCGTGATCATAACGAATAAAGTGACAGCGAAAAACACCATTATTTTCTGTGTCAAATGGTGTCCACATTTCTTCGCGCAATATCTTCTTCTGTTGTTGTTCATCATGGACGGTTGTCACACGCATAGGATAAGTTATTGCATTATGAATCGACTGACGCAATATACCATGTTTGACATCGAACATGAGTCGAGTACGAAAGATCCAATGTTTACTGACCACGGAATTTAGCGCCTGAAGACACCGATCAATCGACAAATGACCAGCATCAATTTGAAATATCATATTCATATTAAAGACGGGTGCGAGTTGCGGCCAATCTATGAAACGAGTATGCTCAGCCAACCAGATACTCGTTTGAACATATGAAGCAGGACCTAAAAGAAACAGTGTTTTTATCGTTCAGCGAACAATAACAATCGCTCTACTAACCTTCGGCGATATTGAGTGGAACCCATGGTAAATGAAGAAGGACTTGACGTTCTTCGATCAGACGAGCATGATCAGCAATCGTTGTAGCACGAAAAAGTAAACTAATGTCGATTGATTGTCGAAATTGGGTTTGATAGTTATGATGAAGTTTCATGAGAAGAAGCGAATGGCCACCAAGTTTAAAAAAACTGATATTGATCGTAGGAATGTGTTTCAGACCGAGCACTCGACACCAAATTGATGCTATATGTCGCTCCAAGTCGCTTCGATGCTGTTCGTCTGATTTTGTTATGTCCGAAGATAGGAGTGAAAAGTCAGGACATGGCAATGCCTTTCTATCTAATTTTCCATTAAGATTCAATGGAAACTGATTCATTAGAAGAAATAACGACGGTACCATGTACAACGGTAGATGTTTCGAGCATTCATCACGCAATATATTAGTGTTCAGATGGGTTTTTGTTTCAACATAGGCTACAATATGTTCTAGGTTCTCGTGAGTGATCTTGATGACAACACAATTAGTAATGTCAGTGGATGACCGCATGATGACAGTCTCTATTTCACCTAATTCAATGCGTTGTCCTCTCAACTTCACTTGAAAATCTTTGCGACCAACAAATCCTAATTGTCCATCTAAAGTCAGTCTGGCAAGATCACCTGTTCGGTAGAACACATCATCAGTGTTAGGTAATCGAATAAGTACTCGTTCACTCGCTTGGGGATCATTGAGATAANGTTCTACTTGACAGTGGTCGATGAGATGACGAGCCAGAAGCTGTGACGAATGGAATAACTCAGCATAGGTCAGTGATTGATCATCCAGAATCACTGCCAACTTCTGTGGATGTTGCACAACTCGACATGCGAATTGTTCGTGGATCGGCAGAAGAGTCGAAGGAAGAAGAAGCTGTTGATCATTATTCAAGTGATATAGTAGTTCGTGTTCATGAGGAAGAAGTAGTGAATATTCAGAGATTGATTTGGTGGTCGATGAAAATAACAGTTGCTCGAGAAGACACTCATATCGATGAGCCATTAACTCAATTGTACTAATTTCAAAGAGATCACTTGAACCATTGAGAGTGACGATGATCGATCTTGTTTGAACATTATGATGAAGAGAACATGACAGATCGAACTTAGCTACGCGTTGAGCATCAGTAGTCATCGCTGAGATGAATGGATGTAAATGTATATTTGAATCAAGAGAAATTTCATTGTCTTGTTGAATTTCGACATCAAACAGAGTTTGAAAAATACTAATACCAGTTTTTGAAGTGATATTCTGAAAGGGTAGATGAGCATGTGGAATGGTGCAAAGAGTAAGATCTTTGACACATTGTAAATGAGAGAGAAAAGTTGAATGTGGTTCGATGATGAGTCGATTTGGTAATGTGTTGACAAACACACCGATAATATGTTCGAGTTGAGCTCGATATCGGTTGGCTGTTGTTGTCAGAATACATAAATCTTCGTGTTGAGTTAGTTGGAATAAGAAAACATAAAATATTGCAAGTCCAAGTTGGAAAAGAGTGACTTCGTAGTCAGTCAACAAGGTAAGGATTCGATCAGTCAGATGTTGGGTGAGTTGGAACTCGAAAGTAATACCCAGACCTGATCGAGTTATGTTATCAGTTGGAAATCGATCGTATGGTAATGGTAGAAGAATGTTAGTAAGTCCATTCAAGTGTTGTTTCCAGAAGATGGTTGCGTCATCCATATTTATCTCTTTCTCATGTACAGAATAATCAATATAATCAAATTCACAATGTTGAAGAGAAGTATCATTTGTGTATGCTGTTCTTAGATCGTGGAAGAATAAGTCAACTGATACTCCATCAAATGCTGCATGATGAAAGTTGAATATGACGATATCCGATGGATTGAGAAGGTCTTCATCGATTGTCACAGATCGTCGAATAACATGACATCGAAAAACACGACCTTCACTCACACTAAACAGAGCAGGATTTGTTTCTTCATCATACAAAATCTTTTCCAGAGCTTTCCCATTAGCAACTGATGTTAAGTGTACTTCCAGTGGTACGGATGGAAGAATCTCTTGTTGAAGAACACCCTCGTTTTCATCATACACGAGTCGTGTGCGAAGTGTCTTGTGTTTGTGAATGATTGCATGGAGAGCTCGTTTTAATCTGTTGAGTGACAGAGGCATCTCCACAATTTCATAGATCAAAGGAACGTGGTAGGTGGCTACAGCGTTAGTAGCACCAGTGAAACGAACACGTTCGTCCAAGTACAGACGAGTTTGAGCGAATGATGCAGGTCCTACAATACGATCGTGAAAAAAAAACATAGTGTCGGTTGAGAGAATAACTTACCTTTGGTAATGTTAAACGAATACCACGAAGGATGTGTACTGATCTCAGACACTTGAAGTAGCTGAGCGTGATCGCGAATAGTGGCACGACGAAACAAATCGCTCACATTGATCGATTGATGAAACTGAGTTTGATAGATATGATGCAGCTTCATCAGAAGTAGTGAATTACCACCTAGTTTGAAGAAACTCATGTTGATGGAAGGAGTCGATTCCAGATGTAACACTTGAGACCAAATCGATGAGACTTGTTGTTCCATTTCGCTACATGGTTCTTCACCTTCTCCCATAAGCGAGCCAGATGACACGAGAAGGGTAAAGTCAGGAGAAGGAAGTGCTTTTCGATCTACTTTACCATTTGGATTGAGTGGAAAATGATCGATGAGAACAAACAACGATGGTACCATATACAATGGCAAGTGTTTCATGCATTCATCTCGCAATATATTTACGTTGAAGTGCACTTCGGTTTGAACATAGGCAACTAGATGTTCGATCTGATCATGATCGAGTTTGATGACAACACAATTCGTAATGTCAGAGGATGATCGCATGATGACTGTTTCTATTTCGCCTAATTCAATTCGTTGTCCTCTCAACTTCACTTGAAAATCTTTGCGACCAACATAATGTAAAACACCTGATTTACCATCGATGCGGACCAGATCACCAGTTCTGTAGAATATGCCTGGTCCATGAGATATATCAGGTTGGTTTAAATATCCGCCAAATACAGCTTCACCACCGATGAGCAATTCTCCAATTTGGTGTTCAAGAAGAACAGGTTGAGAGTAAGTATCAAGGACTTTACATTTATAGCTAGGAAGTGGACGACCAATAGGTACGTTATTCGCTTTTAGATCATCTTGTGTAAGTAGGTGAAAAGTGGAGATGAGAGTACATTCGGCAGGTCCATACAAATTATAAAGTTGAGCAGTCGGATCCAGCAGCGTGCAAATCGCAGAAGCTATTTGTGGTAAAAGAGCCTCACCTAATGAACATAATCGTCGTATGCTCGTCAATGCATGTTGTTGAGACATAGAATTTTGGAGATACTGAGTCAAACTGGATATAAGAGTTGGAACCATGATTAGAAGTGTTATCTGATATCGTTGGAGAATAGATGTGAAATAATGCATGTCAAGATTGCCGTTTTGGCGAAGCAAAACAAGTGTTCCTCCTAACCATAATGTACCGAGAATTTCTTGCATGTGAATGTCGAATGTGGGTAGTGTTGTTTGGAGCACAACATCATCGTGCATCATGATCGTGGAATGAGCTAGTGCATTGATACATACGGCAAAGTTTTTGTGAGTGATTGGAACCACTTTCGGTTTACCGGTCGAACCACTCGTAAAAACTAAGTAAGCTATTCGTTCTACCGAATATGATTTAATATCAATGAGAATGATTTTATTCCACGACGACGAAAGAACTTGTTCAATATCAACCATATTTGATGATATCAGTGTGTTCGTTCGACTGTGAGTAAGGACACACTTAGCTTGTACTTGTTCTATCAATGCTCGAAGTCGTGCTGATGGCTGATCTGCCGGCAGAGGACAATACGAAGCATCACTCATAAGAATCGACAATATGCCAATGATCTATTATATATCAAGAGAATACTTGCTACTACCTTCAAATCAAAAGCTAAGTAGTTTAACTTACCATTTCAATGGAGCGCTCGACACATTGACCAATAATGTCACCTGATTGTACCTGAACTAGGTCATGGAGATGGTGAGCTACTAGTAGTGATGAATGGAATAGTTCAGCATAGGTTAACGATTGCTCGTCGAGAATCACTGCTAACTTCTGTGGGTGCTCGCAAGTTTGATGTACAAACTTCTGTTGGATGGTTCGAATATTCGACGAGAGTATGATTTGTTCACTAATGTTCAAATTTTGTAGTAATTCGATCTCATGTGGCAAGAATAGTGACAGTTCACAGATTTCATTCGAAGTAGGCGAGGAAAGTATGTGGTTCAATAGTGAATGAAAACGACGAGCCATAAGCTCAACTGTCGCTGGTTCAAATAGATCGCTTGCGGCGTCGAATGACACTTGGATGGAACGTGCTGATACGTCATAATGAAGTGAACATGTAAGATCAAATTTAGCTACACTTTGTGGATCAGTAGTCGTAGTTACCAACGGACGTAGAATTATGTCGGAGCTTAATGTAACTCGATCGTGATGGTGAGTTTCAACAACAAATAATACCTGTAAAGCTGTAGTAGTCGTACCTGCAACAATATCTTGATAGGGCAAATGTGCATGAGGCATTGTAGCAACAACGAGTTCTTTTACGCATTCAATAAGGAATCCAAAGTTCTTCTGCGGTTCGATAGCAAGCCGTTGTGGTATCGTGTTGACAAAAAAACCAATCATATTCTCTAGTTCGGCTCGATTTCGATTTGCTGACACTGTGAGAATACATAAGTCCGTTTCTTGAGTTAGTTTAAACAAAAATGCGTAGAAAGCGGCTAGACCAAACTGAAAAAGAGTCGTTTCACAGTTAGTCAGATAATTCAGCATGTCATCAACAATATGTGGAGAGAGTTCAAAAATTGCAGTCGAACCACGACCTGATCGAATGTTGCTCTCGTCTGGGCGGTGATCGTAGGGTAACTGAAGATGAGGTTTGGTGAAGCCATTCAAATGTTGTTTCCAATAAACTCTTGCTGCATCCATGTTTACTTCCTTCTCATGCACAGAGTAGTCAATGTAATCGAAACTACATGGCGAAAGAGATTCATCGGTCGAATAAGCTTTCTTCAAATCGTCAAAGAAAATATCAATAGATGTTCCATCAAATGCTGCATGATGAAAGTTGAATATGACGATATCCGATGGACTGAGAAGGTCTTCATCAATTGCCAAACATCGTCGAATGGCGTGACATCGAAAAACACGACCTTCACTTACACTAAATAGAACAGGATTTGTTTCTTCATCATAAAGAATCTTTTCCAGAGCTTTCCCATTATCAACTGATGTTAAGTGTACTTCCAGTGGTACGGATGGAAGAATCTCTTGTTGAAGAACACCCTCGCTTTCATCATATACGAGTCGGGTGCGAAGTGTCTTGTGTTTGTGAATGATCGCATGGAGAGCTCGTTTTAATCTGCTGAGTGACAGAGGCATCTCCACAATTTCATAGATCAAAGGAATGTGATAGGTGGCTACAGCGTTAGTAGCACCAGTGAAACGAACACGTTCGTCCAAGTACAGACGAGTTTGAGCGAATGATGCAGGACCTGAAATGAAGGCAATGAGAATGAGCTATGTGATATGAGGATGACTCACCTTTTGTCATATGGAACGATTCCCATTGTAGTTCTGTAGTGATTTGATGGGCTTCGAGCAATTTAGCATGATCAACAATAGTTGGTTTACGAAAGAATTGACTAATTAAGAGAGAGTTCGTGTCGAATTGAATCACTTTTTGATAAGAATAATAGAGTTTTATGAGAAGAAGAGAATTACCACCCAACTTGAAGAGACTAAAACTGGTTGAAGGTATTGTGTCGAGTCGAAGAATATCGCACCACAGGACAGATATGCGTCGTTCTATTTCAGTCATGGGTTCCTTATCACGTTGATCAATAGCCTGTGCAATTATAGTATCGGGATTGGGAAGACGCGCTCGATCGATTTTCCCATTTTCGGACAAAGGTAGCTTATCGAGTAGGATAAAGACTGACGGAACCATGTAGGGTGCTAATCTTTCTTGGCATTTCTGTTGAAGTATGTGCTCAATACTCTTGTCTGTTGTTTGAACAAAGGCTGCTAAATACTCGTGTCCTTTGTTCGAATTCTCATGCTTGATAACAACACATTTGCTCACATTTGGAGATGCATCAGATAGGGTCTGTTCGATTTCAGCCAACTCGATACGTTGTCCTCTTAATTTGACCATGAAATCTCGTCGACCTACATAATGAAGGAAGCCGTTTGTGTTAAGTCTAACAAGATCGCCTGTCTTGTAATATTTTTCCTTTTGTTCTGAGAGTCCAGTGACAAGAACGCGCTGTGTCAAATCATCTCGATTGAGATATCCAGGAAAGACACTTGGTCCACTGACACATAATTCACCAATTTGATGACCATCAGGCAAAATTGTTTGCATATATTGATCTAAAATACGACACTTAAGGTTGGGCGATAGTGGACCAATGCATGTGGGCTCAATCACTTGTTTGATATCTTGAGTGATCTTGTAAATACTTATATCAGTACATTCAGCCGGTCCATATAAATTAAAAATCGTAGCTCGAGTATTGTCTCGAAAGTTTTTCAAAGATCGGACATTCATTGGTTCACCTGATGAACACAGTGAGCGAAGTGTGTGCAAACGTTCGAATGCGTTATCCTGCTCAAGTTGCTCACAAATAACAGTCAAGTGAGATGGCACTGAATGCATGTAAGTCGCTTGATGACGTTCAACGAGACGAGTCAAATAATCTAATTGTATGTTTCCATCTGGATGCAGAAGAATTGATGTACCACCCATAAATAGACATCCGAGTAGTTCGGGAACATGAGCATCAAATGAACATGGAGTAATTTGCATGGCTGTGTCTGTAGGTAATAGCGAACCACTGTGAGCATAGGAGGCGACGGTAAGCAAAAGGTTTCGATGGGTCAATTGAACACCTTTGGGCTCACCTGTTGAGCCAGATGTAAAAATAATGTAAGCCACTTGATCGACGCTACAAATAGGTGTGTGGAATGGTTGTTCGATGATATCACTTCCATAGTAGAGTGCGAAAGAAGAAAGATTGATAGTCATCGATTGGAACTTGTTCACTGTTGGATCGTGTGTCAGAATATAACGTGCATTTGTCTGATTAATAATCGCTTGAAAACGTTTTTGAGGATGATTTGGCGTGAGCGGACAATAAATAGCGCCACTCATCAAAATTGCTAGAATGCCGAGTGGCATTTCCAGACTTCGTTCGACACACAAGGGTACGATATCATTCGGTCGAATGTGACATACATTCATCAGATGATAGGCTACGAGTTGGGTAAGAGAATAAAGCTCAGCATACGTTAAAGACTGATCATCAAGGACGACCGCCAATTTCTGTGGATGTTCGTCGACTCGGGATGCAAATTGTTCGTGTATACACAGGGAATACGTTTGATATTGAAACTTATTATCAGTGTTTACCATTCGCAGCAGTTCGACTTCGTGTGGAAGCAGTAGAGATAGTTCACAGATAGGAGACGAAATAGAAGTAAAGATTTGAGAGAGAAGACACTCAAAACGGTGAATCATAGTGGAAACTGTTTCAACATCGAAAAGATCGAGGGAAGCGTTCAATGAAAGTTTGACAGTATGTGCTCGAGAATTGTAATCAAGGGAACAAGTCAAATCAAACTTAGCAACATAATCGTCTTGTGTAGCAGCTAGCGGAATTAATCGAAAATCAGGACTATCCGATGGTTGATGAATAGGTTCAGCGAGAAATAACGTTTGTATACCTGGCAGCTCATCCATTTCTTGATACGGAAAATGGGCATGGCGCATCGATTCGAGACACATCTGTTTTATATAGTCGAAGAAAACTACAACAGTCACATTGGGATCGATGATGATCCGTTGTGGTAATGTATTGGAGAAGAATCCAATGATATCGTTTAATTCAGCTCGAAAACGATTGGCCGATATTGTGAGCACGCATAGATCAGTCTCTTGAGTGAGTTTAAATAGAAATATATAAAAAGCAGCCAGGCCAACTTGAAATAGAGTCATGTCCTGCTTCGACATACAGATTCTCATTCCATCAATCACCTCTCGAGACAGTTCTAAACTGACGGTTAAACCACGACCTGAGCGTGTGTCCTTATCCTTTGGAAATCGATCGTAAGGTAATGATAATAGAGTGTTAGCGAATTCATTCAAACGATGTTTCCAATATGATCTGGCTTCATCCATATTCATTTCCTTTTCATGTATCGAATAGTCTACGTAGTTGAATAAGTTAGGCGAAAGTGAATTACCAGTAAAGTAAGCTTCTTTCAAATCATGAAAGAAAATATCAATAGATGTTCCATCAAATGCTGCATGATGAAAGTTGAATATGATGATATCCGATGGATTGAGAAGGTCTTCATCGATTGTCACAGATCGTCGAATAACATGACAACGAAACATTCGACCTTCACTTACACTAAACAGAGCAGGATTTGTTTCTTCATCATACAGAATCTTTTCCAGAGCTTTCCCATTATCAACTGATGTTATCACCATTTCTAAAGCTACTTGATCCACAATCTGCTGATCAAGCTTACTTTTTGTCTCATCAAATACCAATCGAGTACGCAGTGCTTTGTGCTTATCCATTACTGCGCATAGTGCTCCCTTTAGTTTTTTCACTGAGAGAGGTATCTCCACAATTTCATAGATCAAAGGAACGTGGTAGGTGGCCACCTTGTCCGTTGTGTTACCAAAACGAACACGTTCGTCCAAGTACAGACGAGTTTGAGCGAATGATGCAGGTCCTGAAACGAGGGCAGTGAGAATGAGCTATGTGATATGAGCATGACTCACCTTTTGTAACCTGCAATGAATGCCATGTGGGATGTGTATTGATCTCAGACACTTCAAGTAGCTGAGCGTGATCGTGAATAGTGGCACGACGAAACAAATCGCTCACATTGATCGATTGATGAAACTGAGTTTGATAGGTATGATGCAGCTTCATCAGAAGTAGTGAATTACCACCTAGTTTGAAGAAACTCATGTTGATCGAAGGAGTCGATTCCAGATGTAACACTTGAGACCAAATCGATGAGACTTGTTGTTCCATTTCGCTACGTGGTTCTTCACCTTCTCCCATAAGCGAGCCAGATGACGCGAGAAGGGTGAAGTCAGGAGAAGGAAGTGCTTTTCGATCTACTTTACCATTTGGATTGAGTGGAAAATGATCGATGAGAACAAACAACGATGGTACCATATACAATGGCAAGTGTTTCATGCATTCATCTCGCAATATATTTACGTTGAAGTGCACTTCGGTTTGAACATAGGCAACTAGATGTTCGATCTGATCATGATCGAGTTTGATGACAACACAATTCGTAATGTCAGAGGATGATCGCATGATGACTGTTTCTATTTCACCTAATTCAATTCTTTGTCCTCTCAACTTCACTTGAAAATCTTTGCGACCGACAAATACCAATTGTCCATCTGAAGTAATTCTAGCCAGATCACCTGTTCGATAGAACACACCATCAACATTAGGTAATTGAACAAGTACTCGTTCACTCGCTTGAGGATCATTAAGATAACCAGAGAAGATACCGACACCACCGAGAAAAATCTCCCCAATGTTTTGCCCATCAGGTAGCACTTGTTTACCGTAATTATCGAGTACAAGAACTTTTCGTCCAGGTAGACATCGGCCTATCGGTATAATCTCTGGCAGATCGGTATCGTGAGACTCAATCTTGTAGTATAACGCCGATACAGTACTTTCAGCAGGAGCATATATATTTGCTAGAACACACGTAGGTTGTAAGTGACGGAAGATCGTCTTGACAACCTTTCCTTGAAGTTGCTCACCTAAATCAACAGATAAAGTATGAATAGCGATATGATGGATGCTTACCTCCCACAGTAATCATTTTTACAGTAGCAAGATGGTTAGATTTATCGAATTCTATTTGTTTATTTAAGTACTCGCCCAGAATCGCTACCGTTGTTGGTACAAAATCAATACGAGTGGCTTGGTTTCTTTCAATGGTTTCACATAGATAAAGTGTGTCAAGATTACCATGTGGTCGAAGGAGTACAATTGTGGCACCGCAAATCAAACCACCCATATATTCGTTGGTATGTTCATCGAATGAACAACTAGCCATTTGAATTATAGTATAGTGTTCGTCATGGAATTGTAGTTGACAGTACGACTGCACCATGTGGGCAAAGTTTCGATGGCTAATGGGTACTACTTTGGGTGTTCCTGTCGAGCCACTCGTGAAAATCAAAAAAGCGATATCGTCCATCAGTACATTCACGTCTGTCGACGATTCAAAGTCACCTTTAATTATATTCTCCACCGATACTTTGTTGTTCGGAATGAGATGATCGGTAGTCGAGTGAGTGAGAACACATCGTGGTCGAGTGAGATCAGTCAACAACTGCAGTCGTTCGAATGGTTCATGAGGTGAGAGTGGAAGGTACGAAGCACCACTAAACAGAATTGCCATGATACCAATGGCCATTTCAATCGACCGCTCAACACATTGACCAACGATATCGCCTCGTTCTACTTGACAGTGGTCGATGAGATGACGAGCCAGAAGCTGTGACGAATGGAATAACTCAGCATAGGTCAGTGATTGATCATCCAGAATCACTGCCAACTTCTGTGGATGTTGCACAACTCGACATGCAAATTGTTCGTGGATCGGCAGAAGAGTCGAAGGAAGAAGAAGCTGATTGCGGCTGTCTAACCCATCAATGAGTTGCGTTTCATGAGGAAGAAGTAGTGAATATTCAGAAATTGATTTGGTGGCTGATGATAGTAACAGTTGCTCGAGAAGACATGCATATCGATGAGCCATTAACTCAATTGTACTAATTTCAAAGAGATCACTTGGACCGTTGAGAGAAAGAGTCAACGATTTTTTGCGAACGTTATAATAAAGTGTACACGTCAGATCAAACTTAGCCACACTGTATGGATCAGTGGTGCTGCCAATGAATGGACGTAAAAATGTCTGAGAATCGAGACCAACTTCACCATCCCGTATAGTTTCGACATCAAAAAGTGTCTGCAGCGACGCAATGTTTGTGTTTGTCGCAATCTCTTGAAAGGGAAGATGAGTATGTGGAAGTGTAAGTAGAGCGAGGTCTTTGACACGTTGCATTAATAAAGTGAAACTGGAATATGGATCAATGATGAGTCGATATGGTAACGTGTTGACAAACACACCGATAAGGTTTTCAAGTTCCGCTCGTGTTCGATTTGCAATCACTGTGAGCACACAAAGATCGTCTTCTTGAGTAAGTTTGGATAAAAACGTGTAGAATGCGGCTAGTCCCAACTGGAAAAGAGTCGTCTCGTGTGTTTTCATAAGTTCAAGCATACTATCGACTACGTCGTTGGATAACTGTAGGGTGATTGTTATACCACGACCTGAGAGACTTTTATCGGTTCGTGGGCAATCATACGGCAGCTGAAGATAATAATTTGAGAAACCATCTAATTGTTGTTTCCAAAAGGCTTTTGCCTCGTCCATATTTCTTTCTTTTTCATGTATCGCATAATCAATATAATCTAACCTAGAAGATGACAGAGATTGATCGGTTGAGTAGACTTTCTTCAGATCTTGAAAGAACACGTCAATTGAACCACCGTCGAATGCTGCATGGTGAAAATTGAAAACCAGTAGATCGGATGGCTGAAGAAGATCATTATCGATAGTCGACAATCGTCGAATAGCATGACATCGAAATACTCGTGCTTTACTCAGATCGAACAAACGAGAGTTCGTTTCTTCATCATATATAATCTTTTTTACATCTACATCTGTCTCAGCTAGTGTCAAGATGACTTCTACTTGTACTTGGTCCAAAACCTCTTGCTGCAATACACCAGCATTCTCATCAAATGTTAGACAGGTTCGAAGTGCCTTGTGTTTTTGAATTACTGCTAATAAGGCCCGATTTAATCTCTCCAATGAGACAGATGTCTGGATAATTTCATAGACCAGAGGAATATGGTAAGTAGCGACTGCATTAGTCACACTGCTAAAACGGACACGCTCATCCAAGTATAGGCGAGTTTGAGCGAAAGATGCAGGTCCTGAAAGATTATGAGTCAAGAAGATATTTGGTTCGAGAACATCTTACCTCTGGTAATATTAAAAGAATGCCAGTGTGGCTCTATAATCATCTGATGGTCTTCGAGTAATTGAGCATGATCGTGAATAGTTGCATGACGAAATAACTTACTGATATCGACTGTTTGATGAAATTCGGTTTGATAGACATGTTGAAGTTTCATGAGAAGAAGCGAATTACCACCTAACGCGAAGAAACTAACGCTTGTAGAAGAAATCGATTCGAGATGCAACACTTGAGACCAAATCGATGAAATTTGTTGTTCTATGTCGGTATGATGCTGTTCGTCTAGTGCATTCGAGTTAAACGAGAGAAGGAGTGAAAAATCAGGAGGTGGGAGTGCTTTGCGATCCAATTTGCCATTCGGATTTAGTGGAAAATGGTCGATCAGAATAAATAACGATGGCACCATATACAATGGCAGACGTTCTCGACATGTCTCACGTAACAGACTGATGTTCATGGAAACTTTTGTTTGAACATAGGCAACGAGATGTTCTAAATTGTCGTGCTCTCGTTTTATAACAACACAATTGCTGATTTCCGGTGTAAACCGCATAATAGTTGCTTCAATTTCGCCTAATTCGATGCGTTGTCCTCTCAATTTGACTTGAAAATCAGTTCGCCCACTAAAATACAAGCGACCTGTTCTGGTATCGACGCGCACGAGATCTCCTGTTCTATAGAGTACGCCTTGTTCTTGTGGCAAGGACACCAGCGCTTCATGTGTCAAATCTGCTCGATTGAGGTACCCGCGAAAGACAGCCTGACCACCAATGAAGAGCTGACCGACCTGTTTGTCGCAGAGAACAGGCTGAAAATATCTATCAAGAACATGACATGTGTAACCAGCAAGTGGCCGACCGATCGGTAAAGAATTTTGCTCAAGATCGTCCTTCGTAATTAGATGAAAAGTAGCTGCGAAGATGCATTCCGTAGGACCATAGAGATGATAGATAAGTGCAGTCGAGTTTAAACAGTTGTAGAGTTGGGTTGCTGTTTGAGGCCGAAGTAATTCACCTAAACATAAAAATGTTTCTAAATTAAATCAGAAAAAATATATGTTACCTTACCTATAGAGCAGAGACGCTTCAAACTGAACAATGTTTGACGTCGATCAGGACAGTCGTGTACATGTTGAGCAAGTATAGCAAGAAGCGTGGGTACAGTAACAGCAAAACTTATTTCATGTCGTTGTACGGTCGATGTCAAATAGTTCATGTCAAGATTTCCGGTAGGTCGAAGAAGACAAATAGATCCGCCTAGCCAGAGTGTACCTAAGATTTCCTGTATGTGAATGTCGAATGTAGGTGGTGTTATTTGTAGAACAGTATCGTTACGAGCCATAATCGCCGAGTAAGCGAGTGCATCAACACAAGCGGCAAAATTCTGGTGGCTGATGGGAACCGCTTTTGGTGTACCAGTCGAGCCACTGGTAAAAATTACGTAAGCAATCGAATTGATGTAGACATTGGTATCATCATCATTATCAATCCAGCCTGTTGAGGTCAGCAACGTGAGTATTTGATCGATGTTAATATTATTTGATGAGATAAATTTGCATGTTCGATTGTGACAAAGGACACACTTTGCTCGTACCTGTTCGATCATTGATTGAAGTCGTGCTGATGGTTGATCCGGAGATAGAGGACAATATGAAGCACCGCTCATTAGAATCGACAATATACCGATAACCTATTATAAAACAAGAGAATATCACTACTCTTCGTATGCTGAAAGCAAGTTCCACTTACCATTTCGATGGAGCGCTCGACACATTGAGCAATGATGTCGCCTGGCTGTACGTGACAGTTTTCCTTGAGATGATGAGCCAGCAATTGTGATGAATGTAACAGTTCAGCATAAGTTAACGATTGATCGTCGAAAACCACTGCTAGTTTCTGTGGATGTTCCTCGGTTTGATATGCAAACCGTTGGTGGATAGGCAGTAGATTTTTATGAAGAGACACCTGCTCGCTGCTGTTTGCTAGTTGATGTAATATTTGAGTTTCATTTGGAAGGAGTAATGAAAATTCAAAGATTGAACTCGTCAGTGAGCTGCACAACAGCTGACCAAGAAGAGATTCAAATCTACGAGCCATAGTAATAATTGTAGACTCATCGAACAAGTCACGAGCGTACACAAAGGAACCAGTCATCTGTTCGCGTTCATTCATTACGATTGATAAACATAAATCGTATTTAGTCGTATTGGGTGGACGAATACAACGAGTAAGTTCATATTTGTCGCCCAATTCTATCTTACTTGTGATAGTCTGAAATCGAAATCCATTTGTCATGTACGGCAATGATTTCATATTCTTAGCCATCGTCTTGATATGTTCTATAAGATGGATGAACGGTTTTTCAGATTCAATCATGATGGTTGTACACGCGGTTTCGTATTGACTTCCATCATTCACGTAGCTGTCGATGGTGAGATCTTGGCATTGTGTCAATTTATAGAGGAAAACATAATAGGCAGACAAGTACACTTGAGATAGGGTAGTTTGTAGTTGACAAGCAAAATTAGCGAGTGACTCGCCTCCATCTAGTTCCAGATTCACTGTTGACGCACGACCCGTACGAGCTGATGTTAATGGGCAATGATCGTAGGGTAATTGTAACTGATGTCCAAGATCTGATTCTGATAACATACTGTCATCTCTATCATCTCGTTCATACAATGTATAGTCAATATAGATCGGTGTGTGATTGTCATTCATGTCGAGTGTGAGAGTTGAATAAGCCTCTTTAAAATCGGCCAGAAAAATAGATTCGATGAAATAATCGAAGATGGCATAATGAAAATTGAGTAGCAGCATATCTCCACCAGTGAGAAGATCTTCATCTTCTCCATTGGTTCTTCGAATCGCATGACATTGAAACACTCGATCGCAGATAAGATTAAAATGAGTTTGCAACATTTCTTCGTTTTCACTCTCAACTTTACTAATTTGCACAAAGGAGACATTATCCATATCGTCAAACGATACATCAGATTGATGTAGCCGGATACGCAATGTTGGATGTTTGCGGATGAGGAGTGTCAATGCACAATTAAGACGTTGAAGAGAAAGGGATGAGCCAGGCGTTACGATAAACACGATTTGTGAAGCAGAATTATTAACTTTGCTTTGATCTGCATGATTTAATGCTGCGTTGTTTGTCGTGAGTAAACGAACATGTTGAATAATAGTTGGTTGTGTCAAAAAGTCCGATCGATTGAGCTGTCGATGCGGACTCAAGTCGAATTGATAGCGACTGAAAAGTTCCATCAAGGTCAAAGATGAACCACCCAACGCGAACCACGTTATAGAATCGTCAGTAGGAACACTGTCTAGATGTAACAGAGAACACCAGAGTCGACGTACCTTGTACTGAATATCGTTCGAATTTGTAGAATTTTCTAGGGACATGTTTTAAACGAAATGATTTTAGTTAAAAACTAGTTGTCCTTGAAAGAAAAAGTATAGTGATTAAGAAAACTTTTTTTCGGGTTTAAGAGCAAAACGATTGAATTATTGCATTTATTGTCGTGTCAAAATGAAGACAAAAAGTCGTAAATCTCGCCGAGATTTTGCACTATCATCATGTTGCTGGTTTTTATGATCAATGAATGATTTATGAGCTTACTTGAAAGTACATCAAACGTGCATCATCATCATCATCGTCCTTATCTACAATCTCAGATGAAATAAACTCAGCTCATTCACCTCTCTTCTAGGCAAGTAGTTGCAAGTGATACCTAATTTCTTTCAAATAACGATGTCGTCAGAAAGTACAATCATCGAATCAGACCAAACTTTGCAACCGCCATTTAAAATGCCTCGAGCACCACCTCATGTTTATTCCTGTTTTGTCATTAATCGTACGCAACATCCTGTAGAATGTATGGTTCACTATGATGGTCGTCCAGGTGAAGACAAATTCAACGAAGATGTTCATGTCACTATTCCAGCGAATGATGAAAAATTTTTTCCTCGTCGTTTATTTCAACCAGATTTACCTGATTCGTATTGCAAATGGGTCAAGATTGTGACACATATTAAAGTGA